TTGAGAAAGGTCATAAACAATATAAAAAATCGTTCGTCTCCCACAGCAGATATACGAGGGCGGCANATACTTTTAGTGCAGCCCTCGTACACTCGCGAGCAAAAGTATGGAATCACTTACATGAAGTTGTTTCCACGCGATCTTGTGTACTAACGAATTTGTTAGTAACAAAAAAAGTCTATATATATAAAAATGAAACCCGTTTCGCGTTGTCACGGCATCACGTGTGAACGGCTGAACCGATTTCGATAATTCTTTTTTTTAAATGTTTGTGGAAGTCCAAGGATGGTTCTTACGGAAAAAAATATTAAGAAAATCTCTACGCTAAGGCGGTACGAAGTTCGCCGGGTCAGCTAGTGAGCAATAAAATTTGACTCCAAAAAGGCCTGCCACAGGCTGGAAACTGACGGCAGGTCACCGACAAGCACGCTTTCAATTAGGTCGCACTCGGAAGGCGAGTCATGGAGGCGAGTTTTGTTCTCCGATGAATGCAGACTGTTTTTGCAGTGCAGCAGTCGAAGAGGTCGGGTCTATAGACGGCCTGGGGAGCGATTTGTGCAGTGCTGGTTCGCTAAAACATTGGCTTATGGGGGTGGCTTGCTCGACTTCCCATCGAGATGTGTAGGAGCAAATTGAAAGCATGCTTGTCGGTGACCTGCCGTCAGTTTCAATCCTGTGGCAGGCCTTTTTGGAGTCAAATTCTATTGTTTATATCTTAGACAAACTGTCCACTTGCTAACAGCTATCCTACGAACATTTCTGAGCTCTTGCTGGACGTCGATACCATTCAAATGACGATTTCATAGAGAGGTTGACATGAAAAAACGGTTTTCCCTCTGCGATGTGCACCGGCAATGTTCAGAACTTGGTCTCGGGATAAAGCCACCGGTATCCCAAAAGCGTCTTCAAACTTTTGAAACCCAGGACTGGCTTATGTGGAGCTGACGTGCGACAACCCGCTGGCTGAGCCCTTCTTGCAATAGTGCAACGATTTGTGCTGCCTCTGAAGGTGTAGATTCCCAGGTAAAGTGTCAAAAGAAGCGGAGATGTGTATGGATCAACGTGTGAAAGCAAAAATCCGAAAACACTTGCTTTTATGGGGGGTAAATAGGCCGCAACTCGCGACGTATCAAACAGTTGATACATGTCTTTTTCCTTACTTCTTCACATCAGCCGGGATATCTTTTTAAATACTGGTGTGATTTGAATGAATTTGGTATCAATTTAAAGTTAAAAGTTGAATCTTTAAAATGGTGCTACTTTTTTTGTTACTAACAAATTCGTTAGTACACAAGATCGCGTGGAAACAACTTCATGTAAGTGATTCCATACTTTTGCTCGCAAGTGTAGTTTATTATTACGCTACTCAGTACTATCATAAATTAAAATTTTACAGCTGTTACAATTTTTTTGTTTTGTTTTTATTTCACACAGTTAAACGTGGTTAAACTCCTTGATACTTCTCTGAACGAAGTATTACCTACTTCTTTTAAAATAAAGTTAAGTTACCGTTACAAACATTTCTTATCAATTGTTTTCTTAGTATTTTTCCTTACCTAGGACAAGTATTTATTCTGTGCCTTGGGTAGTGGCAAATACTTGAAGTTGACATCAAAATAAGTACTTATATTTTTATGAGTAAATAAATTATAGGAAGTTGTGATTTCACTAACCGAGCCCTCGATCCGGCAAGTTGTTTGACCCCCGTCCATCATTGTATGAGTCACTGTTAATAGTTCACTTCATTGTCTACAAGGTCTCTCGTACATAATTTAATATTTATTTGATCGCTTAAAATAAAAAGTTTTGACAATAAGCATCGTTGAATAATACAAATACGTATACCTAATTCGTTGTTAAAAGATCCCTTCAGTAAAATTTATTAATAATCAAAATATAAGTTTGAATGCATTGAAAGTTAAAATGATGTTCCAACTGGGTAAACAAAAATATCCACCTCGTGCAGTGGGTCTAGACTTCGATTACAAGAGTCGAATTAATATCAAAAACAAGTAAAAGTGATGCAAAATGTATGTTCGAAGTTATTTTTATCGGGTATCAATGCCTAATGTAATTAATATTATCCTGGAGTTCAAAGTCTTTTAAAGCAAATGTTTGATGATAACATTTAAGCTAGGAAGTAAATTAAGATGATAAATAGCTTCTCTACATCTACAGACAATAATATTAAAGTTATTGTTGAAACTATTTCGTAAATGATTAGATTTTTGACATATAAAAAAATGTTTTTTACAAAAGAAATAAAAAGCAATAGTCCAAGTCGTCATACTAAGCTCTGTATTCTAAAACGACGTTCAAAACTGTGATCGATCACCTAATAACAGGCTTGAATCTATTCTTGAGTGCAAATTCAAACTTGTCATTTCATAAATACGATCCTGTCTAATCTTTTAATGGAATATTCAGGTCAGTTCATGCCAACTTAGTGCAACAGGTTACGAGCAGATTGTCAATTGTGCGATGCACGACGGAGAAGAGTGGTCGAGCCTACAATGTGTTTTTCATTTACTCATGTTTTGTTCGGTTAGGCGAAACCATTCTCGTAATCTCCGCTCAATGCACCGTTGTGCTGCCGGCCAGACACAACAAAGGATGGATTTAGTTATAAACTTTATCAGTTCTCGTGCAACAACTTATTCCTCAACAACTTATTGTTTCCCGTTTAACATTGTCGCAATGAATCATCTAATAATAAGGCGTATTATACATATAATGTCCCATATAAAAAAAAAACAATTCGAAGTATAGGTACTTAAATTCGTCTAGTTATTTTAAATAGTATAGTAATAAAACGAAATTATTATCTAAAATGTGTTCTACTAACACGTTTTATCGAAATCCCCGTTACCTCGCGGGATGGTGTTAACTAACACACTATTTTTATGACTCACCCTCAACAGTTAACGTTCCATTTGAAGCGAATGATCCGAATCTTTTTTTACGAGTCCTTGTCTCTGCGTCCATTTGTCGCACACATTGTCGAGATAATGATTACCTCATAATGGCTCGACAATCCGAGAATAATCCCATGTTACTGTTAAAAAGTCGGATGTGTCGATGTTTGTTTATCACTCTTCAAGTTGAACAATGGGACCGATCGGAACGCTGTTTACTGAGACAACAATGTAGTGACGTACAAACCTGCAAGTCCTCCAAAATTAACTGCAGGACACCGCGGCCCAGGAGATTCCTGTGCGGCGGCACCACTAGGGCATGAATTCTTTCAAGCAACCCCGGCAAAGCGCCAGGGTCATGAGAAACACACCACTCCGCGAAATTTTCTAAAGTACTCCTTTCCAATGTTTGTTGAAGCCGCACATATTCTCTCATCTGCCGGTTGGCAGACGAAACCCTGCTCAGCAAGTCGGTCATCTCGTGTAGCCTCAGTTCTAGGGCAGATTTCTTCCCACTGTTCTTCGACAGCATCAAAGCAACAGCATTATTTTGCTGCAAGTTCAGCTCCAGCCTCTCGATCGCATTCGTAACCTGAGCGAGACGGGATAAGATCTGGGTTTCCCGCCTCTTGATGAATGGAAGTTCGACCCCTCCGGTGGCATTGAACGGTTTCCCGATGATGTCCCACGAGCTGAGCACTTTCTCGCCGATTTCTTTGCTGAGGAATAGGACGTCGAGTGTTTCGTCGATGAGCCCGCGCGCGGGTTGCGCGAGAAGCAGCGCTGCGAGCGCGAGAAACGTGCGCGGGCGCCGGTTGGTCATGGCGGAGGACGCGGGCTCACTGCCCGCCGCGATCGATCGAGGTCGCCGGCTACGCGGCTGTGTGACCCGCTCGCTTACTTCATTTACCACTTTCCATAACTTAATTCGCGCCTACGTTACGCTGAGTCGCTTCAATGAGTCAATTTTTGGCTACACTTTGATTACATTCAAATTGCTAATTATTAAAACTAGGAAACCAGTTTATTGCGGTGAAACGTCGCAACAGAATGATTCCATACAACTGTGCGTTGCAGTTACACTTGTTTGCACTTGTAATGCTTTGTTTAATTTCATTTTACAAGGCCAGATATTGTTAAGTTGTTTAATACTCACCGCGTAGACATAATAGAAAAAGTTATTACGTATGCTAACGCCACACGTGAGTGAACCCACGTAACTGGGGGGAAAGTAAAATCGGGCAACACTGATAGCCAGCCCTCTCCAAACGTCCCCTTTCATAAAAATAACTTTATTGGTTGAATGCTTTCAATTCGTCCCATCCGCCCTCACTTTTTTCCTTTTTGTTGATTCAAATATTTGAAAAGGGTTCTCTACCTATTGACCGCTAAAGTATTTATGTCAACTTATTCATAACAATGCACCAATGTTACGTGATGTTATGAGAGAAACATAGATAATAATTATACCTTTTGTAATCACAATGCTGCACGGATGAATGCAATTGTTTGATTGTAGTATGTAGGATCGGAAATCTTCCTCATTGTTAATAGCAAATAGTACGCTGTGACGACTAAAGCGTATCAATTTTAACGTTATTTTATAAAGTTATTTAATAAATATAGCAATATAAGAGACCTCGATGAAGGGTAAAATATTGTTGGCAGTAAAAGAAAAATACTATGCGAAGTTTTTTTGCATAGTTGTACGGTTTCCAAGATTGTATATTGCCTGCTATTGTGAATGACTTAAATGTTAATTGGGCGTAGAGCCACAGAAAAATGGTCGTGAGACCAAAAGTTCAGATAAAAATATCTTGAAGGAGATTGAAGCAATATCGATAAAACGACACAATTCGATAGAGCCAGGTTAGATAGTGTAACTGACGCCTATTTAATTTATTTTTAGTTGATTGCAAGTTATTTTGCTCAATCCCAATATTCATATATTCAATTCCAATTTTTGTTGAGGTAAAGTTGCCCTCCAAAGCTAAAGTAACCCGCTAATTCAGCATCTCTCTGTCCGACTTTCTGTTTCATCCTCTTGGGTTTAAAACACAACTAATTCTATTCCTCCTTTTCCAGAGCTTATTCTACGAGATCCTGGCGGGGGTATGGGTGCGCAACGGGCTGCAGATCAAAGGCCAGGCCATGACGTACATCCAGGCCAACTTCTGCAACTCCATGGTGGACATGGACATCTACTGGCTGCAGATCTGCGCGGCGCACCTCCCCGCTGACCAGTTTATTGACATGTGCATTGATATGTGAGTTAACTTCACTTAACTAAGTGTAAACGTATGTACAGTCACGGAATGAAAAGGTTCGTCAGTTTTCAAATTGATTCCTTCAACGAATCGCGAGCACATATTACCTTTTGAAACTATGTTACAGAATATTCTCGAGTTAGAGAAAATAATCTTTAACTGTTCGTCAGTAAAGTTCAAAATTATTCAGATCAAAATTGTTTGACGATTTATCTTGTCAAGAAGATTATTATGATTGATAAACTAAAACCTTCTTGTTGGTTCAACCTGCCATTATTATTTCTATTAAACAAAAAAAACTATTGTCAATTGGTCAATGTCATCATTGCATTGCACTGATGGGATAGAAAAATAATAGTCCAGTCAATAAAGCATTATAGTTGGAAAACCGTGGAACACAATTTCTGACTTCGGGACTTTATTTAGACTAGTTAGGAGGTGATCATAGCAAAAGTCCCCACCCTTAGCCCTTGAGCCGGCGGGGAGAGGGGGGTTTAAAGGTGCCACTTTTCGGTTTTTCGCTTAATCCTCGTAAACTATGCGTCCTACTGACATGACCACTATGAACCAAAAAAAGCTTATTCAATTTGCTATAGGTGAGATATTCAAGTTTTTCTATATCTTGTATAGTTTTCGCGGCATCTAGTCTACAAGGTCTGTAATATTGGAAATTTTATTTTTGTCTTACATGTTCCCATTTGGAGAAAATCGACTAAATCAACATTGAGCAAACATTCTAGACATGCGGGAGCATGTTAAGCCTAGTTCCAGGGAGGGGACTGCACCGTGCGTATATTTAGACGAACCACTTGGAGCCACTTTAGACTCCTCATCATTCAAAAACTACTGTGCATTAACACTTCAAATTTGGCTCATGTGTTAAGACTTGCAAGATATACATCTGCTTCAAATTTCATAAATATACCTCAAACGGTTCTTTAGGTATTGACGTCCAAAAATCTACATGTCTGAAAAACTTGATTGTCTCACCTGTAGCAAATTGAATAAGATTTTTTTGGTTCATAGTAGTCATGTCACTAGAACGCATAGTTTCCGAGGATTAAGCGAAAAACCGAAAAGTGGCACCTTTAAACCCCCCTCTCCCCGCCGGCTCAAGGGCTAAGGGCGGGGACTTTTGCTATGTTCACCTCCTGACTAGTCTAAATAAAGTCCCGAGGTCAGAAATTGTGTTCCACGGATTTCTCTCTACACCGTCGTTAAGGCATTCATTGACTGGACTATAAACAAGCAAAACCTTATTCGTTAGCAAACGTCATATTTATTTAAATGTTAGCAGCACTGTTACTTGCACTGTTATGTTGGCAAGTTTGACTCTTACAGTACAAGCGAAAACCGACACTTAAGGTGACGAACCTTTTCATTCCGCGACTGTACAACAAAGTTCACGTAAGTACAGGTTTGTTAGGACGGTTCCCGCAGAAGTACATCTGCTTGTTCTGGCTATTGGACAACTTGTAAATTATCTACCTATACCTTGATTTTTTAGAATCCAGCAGAGATGTAAACAAACACTTTCATACACAATTACACCATAATCACTTACGTGTTCATAATATCATACACATTATTTAACAAGCCCATGAAACCAACTTTATTTTCACGTTTATACAAGTTTGAAATCAATCTTTGAAACAAATTATTTTAGCAAAATACGTGGACGATGAAAATTTGTGAGATTGTCAAATTGACTTGACGTTTAAAATCATGTGTTATCTCCATATTGTCTATGACTTGTCTCTGACACATCAGTGCCGTAACCTGTGAGTCATAGAAACTTCTTTCAATGAGGGTTTTCGCGATTGAAACATCCGCCAGATGGCAATACGTAGACGCGAGGTCCAAATGCTGCATGATTGGTTATTTTTGACATGACCAAAATCCACCAATCACGCAGCAAGCAACAGCAAGCAACAGAAGTTTAATAACTTTACGGAAATCATTGATTGTTTTACTGTCCAGTGTGTTTTTTGATTACATCTGTGAATACAGTTTAAAAATAAAAATTCATAAAATTCATAAAATTCATTTATTTTTGCAAATAGGCTTTAAAAAAGCGCTTTTACACGTCCCAATATTAACCCTACCACTGCTTCGGGACAATAAATGGGCCAGTGCTGAGAAGAAGCAGCGCAAGAAACTCAGTCACTATTGTCAGCCTCCTTTTCAAGGTTTTACAGTCTTTAAAATATACAAATTATAGTCATAAGTATTAATGCTTTGTTTCCTGTTCTCGAAAATTTCATAATCAGTTCACATTCAATGTTGCGACTTAATTGCATATTTTTAGTATTTTGACGATCACCCGGCGATGATACGCAAGTACTACAACATTTCACTTCGCGATTAACGAGAGGTTTTGTCGCATCACTAGTTCACAGACTAAAAATATTTTTATGTCAGTTGGCCATATTTGATGACATTTCTGCTGATTTCTAAAAAATTAGACTGTACATAAAATTTGTTAATTTCTCATGCAAGTGACTGTAATGTTTTTAATGAGAAATAAATGTTTTTTAAACCTAACTTCAACACTTCTTTCGGGTATCAGTATGTATGAATTTGAAGACCATTGACGTGATATCCTTATGATATGAGCATAGCTACTTTAAACTCTGTTCCTGTACATTCGGGTCTTTATGTGTTACCTTTTCATTACGGCATATGGTTTTGTAGGAAAGTGTGAACTTAAAATATTCTTCTTCTTGCACTAGGCTCCAAAATGATAGTTTCTCTCATAAACTATATGTTTTTCTTACTCAGATAATAATAGATTCGTCCACATTTCATTTACCGGGCTCTCTGCTTTGTTCTATGCAGGTTTGGAGTCCGCGAATGGCTCAGCATGCTGCCGATGTCACCAGTCCAGGCAGCTGAACAAGATGCAATGGTGGAGGGACTACTCACGTTCCTCGCCATACTTGTATCTTCGCGGACCAATCTCGGTGAGACACTGTAGGATTTATAACAGCCTTCGTTTCAGTGTGAGCAATGTTTGTTAGAAGGAAATGTTAACGATTATGAAATGGCAAGTGAATGGCCGGCCTTCGTACAATAATGTATGATGTACTTGATGTATAGTCATAAATGTATTTGTAAATGTTGCAATTTAAAAATTAACACCCAAATAGTAGGCCAATTTCCCACCAGGCATGAGCGAGGAAGCTAAGAGTGACTTTATAGTCACTCGGAACGCGCACAAATGCACAAGAAACCAATATCTCGTGACGAAAAGCGCCCCATAAGCGCTAACACGCTCGACTCTAAAGTCATACTAAGTAGTGGGAGGCGTACGTGTAGCAAAGCAGCTTATCATCATTAAAAATCTTACGGGCCTCCATGTTAAGTACACACACCGGCAGATTTAGAGGAACGGAAAAAAAAGCATCAATATCATCATTATTTTAGGAAAAAAATGCCTAATTATGACATTATTTTTTAATTTAATTCTAAATATGAAAAAAAAATTGCCAACAGTATATTTTTTTAATTATTTTGTTTAAATTACCCCATCAACAGTTTCGTTGAGTGTTTTGAATTGAATGAAGCTTTTGCTAATTTGGATTTCTTTTACGTGAAAGATGTTTTTTTCTGAGAATTTTGTTGTGTAAGCATTCAGTTACTTATAAGGGTTTATTATGCCCAGCTTAGCACCGTCAGAAATCATTAAGGCAGATGAAATGAGAAGTAACGGCCATGCATACAAATCGGCTGCCGTAAGACGTCGTTGATCAGTATCGACCACCCATGGCAGTAACCAACGGTACAGATTGATCATTTCTGTCGTTAGGAGGAGGGTTCAAGTCAGAAAAAGGCGTACTTCGCGACGGGATGACCGTTTTTTACAACTTCGAGTTTTCAGAAAGTCGCGGTTACCTGCTGTTCAAGCCAGAAATAACCTTAAAGACACTCGAGGAGTAAGAGTGACTGAGCCCACAGTTCACAGGAGATTTACTGAAGTTGGTATAGGGTCGTGCATACCCGAGAAAGCTCCAACTTGTGACACAGCACCGAAAAAACATATTGAACTTTTCACGTGAATATCGTGATTGGGTCTTGAACGACTGGAGGCATGATCTCTTCACTTATGAGTGCAGAGTTCTCTTAAACCAGATCGATGGAAGATAGCGAATATGGAGACACAAAGAGAACGTAACATTTAGTCTTAATTTTGAAAATATCGTGGTTTATGGAGGTAGCTTAATTCTGGTGTGGGGAAGGATTTTTTTGGGAGCTCGCACGGAGTTAGTGGTGGGTGATGGAGGAAATACGACTTCTGAATGGTACACTAGGAACATTTTAGAAGAACATGATGTGCCATTTACTCCATTTATTGTGGACTCCTTTAGTTTAATTCACGATAATGTTCGTTTTCACAGTGCTCGCTCAGTACAGGCACATCTAAACCATTTGGATATACCCATGATGCAGTGGCTGGCAAGATCCCTAGACAAGAATCCTATAGAGCATGTCTTGGACTTTCTTAAAAGATGTGTTAAACTCAGAATACCACCGGTGGTGTTGAGAAACGCGTTACTAGAGGAATGGCAGACATTGCCCCAAAATACCCTTCATATCATTAACTGCAGCATGCTCAGATGAATGGAAACCATCATCAGAGCAAGAGGGGGAAATACCCATCATTAATTCATTCATTTGGATAGTGATAAGCTACCCTAATTTTTAATCTGGCCACAATTTCTAATTTTTGTTCAAAACTGAAAAATTGAAATTTCGTTTCGATGATTTTTTATTAAATAAAAACGACTAAATATTTAAAAAATATATGTTATTTTATTTTATTTTAATTATCTCTTTATTTTGTATAATAAATATTTCATAGATCAGTAGTAATTTTCCTTATTTTCATACTTTTTTTTGCGTTCCGCTAAATCTGCCGGTGTGTGTATTATCTATTTCACTTTTTTATATTATTACAATTTATAATAAACATAATCATATGAATAATATCATAAATTTGTTATTTTTTATTGATGAAAAGATCTAAAACAATAATTAGTTATTATATTTATTTAGGAAAAGTTCTACGTGACATTTGAGATAAGGACGTTTTACTTTGGAACCGGGATATTTGCATCGTTGTCTTTTTTCACCCCAAATAGGAAATGCTCAAACCCATCACGACTGACATCACGAGGAGGTAGTATTGATGTACTTGGCTCCAGGTCACCCAAAGGGCGATGGAGCGTGCTTTACTCGGAGTTTCCCTGCGTGATCGAATCAGAAATGAGGAGATCCGTAGGAGAACCAGAGTGACTGACATAGCCCGCAGAATCGCTAAAATCAAGTGGCAGTACGCGGGGCACATAGCTCGTAGAAATGATGGCCACTGGGGCAGGAAAGTTCTTGAGTGGCGACCATGAGCCGGTAGACAAAGCGAGGGTAGCCTTCCACTAGGTGGACCGACGATCTGGTGAAGGTCGCGGGAGGTACCTGGATGCGAGCAGCACAGGACCGGTCTTCGTGGAAATTCTTGGGGGAGGTCTTTGTCCAGCAGTGTAGTCCAGAGTGTAAAAAGTTTTGGATGGACTGATATTTTTCCATGTCATCATCACTTCCACATCACTCCCAGAATGAATATTTAAGAAACACTCAATTTCTCCATTACGCAATCTTCTTCGCGACATTATCTGCAATAAAATCAAAATATTCATATGGTAAGTTGTCGTAAGTACGTAAGTAAAAACGGACACTAAAGCTCAACGTACCGTATGTGGAACTACAATAAAAATGTGATTTACTAATACGTTTAATATTGTAATAAAAAATACAACTTACCTCTGCAAAATATACACTTCTTTATAACACAGAGTATTTTTTTTCTAATCAAAACTGTTCAATAACTATTTTTTATTTATTTTTGAATTTAGACAAACGACTAACTTGTCACTTTCATTCAAATTTCACACTTAGTGCACTACAACCAAAACACGAACGACATCTTTAGGTAAAACTTCGTATTACTACATTGCTAAATGTCAGTAGCTTCTAATAAGATGCAAAAGATGTCGCTACTAATAGTTTTATAGCTATAGGAACGATTAAAGTCGGTGTTCCACAAATGGAACTGGGTGCCTTGTAGGGTTAATCAAACGTTCTCAACACCCACTAGTAAGTAATGTTTTTAAAATATATAGTTAACGTACGTAGTAGTGGTACGTAGATTTATGAGGAATAACTAAGCAGAATATACTCAAAGGAATTAAATTCATAATTTGCTTTTCAGGTATCAAGAAATTAAGATTAGTAGTAGCAAGAGAATGAAGATTAATACAGAAACAAGAATCAAACGCACCACATTGAATAATATACAACAAGACCAGGCTTTGCACGAGTTGGGGCTACAAAGAGAAAATATTGATAGAAAGAGAAAATTAAATTAGACATTGAAGATTGATGAAAATAAAACTTCATTAAAAATTTTATGTTTTATTTGCCACTAGCAACTGATACATTATGTAGGTGGCACTGGAAGGCCTCCTCGCAGTTAATTTCCTCAGGTCTTCTTTTATCAGTGGTAAAAGTATGAAAAGAACCCCATCATTGGAAAACCTAAACTAAATTCGTCTGAACTGTAATAATCAAAGGGATTTTGGGAATCCCGTATCACTTTTCTGGTACTTTATTATTNTGTGTGTATTTCTCTCAAATTTCACTCATGGGACAAATCTCGGGTACCCTATATTATACCAAACCTCGTGACTTGAAGTTCTTTGAATTGTATGACATCTTCATTTTATGTCCAGGCAATGACGAACTAACGCAATCCCGGCTAGAAGTCAGCACGCTGCTGGCGGCCGGCGACAAGACACATTCGCAACTGCTCGAACTCATGCCCGAGCGCTCCGGCAACGCGCACACCAGGAACTTCGAGAGCGTGCTCAAGGAGGTACGTACCGTGGTAGCCAGCGATCCGGCTCGAAGGACCAAAAATTAGCTAGTTAGTGATCCGGCTCGAAGGGCCAGAAAAATGTGCAGGACTGGAGTAGGTGACAACAGGCCTGAATAGTGCGGTAATCCGATGGACGGTGTCTCCAATCATGCACCTCTTATAAATCGATTGTGGATCATTGCTACCTCTTCGCTCTTGAAGTTATTTGTTGTAAGATTAGGGTGGTATCGATCGACCAAAAAAATTGCTACTGAGCGACCCAGCTCGAAGGACCAAAAATGATCTAGTTAGCGATCCGGCTTGAAAGACTAGAAAAATGTGGCCGACTAGTAGAGTGGACGGTGTCTCCAATCGTACACGCTGCTATTCCTACTCTAATATCGATAGTAGTTCATCCTCGTTCTTGAAGTAATTTGTTGAAGGATTAGGCTTTATCAAAATCAAAAATCAAAATCAAAAATATTTATTCAGTTTAGACCACAAGTGGCACTTATGAATTATGCATCCAGTTGGGCTGGTCAATGTAATCATCCATATTTCCAGGTGTCAACATACCGGCCGCCGCCCAAAGGCTCGGAGAACCTGGAGCAAGGACTATTCGTGCCCAAGCCGGTGGTGTGGGAGCAGTACTACGACCCGCTACACGTGCTGCGCCGCGCCGTGCACAGAAGGGACTTCCACGCGTCCATGGAACGCTTCTCCACCTAGTAAGTGCTTGTGTGTTTGCGGCTAAATTTAAACCGGAAAGAAGGGCGAGCGGGGAAGGCAACTAAAGACGAAAGATCGAGCGCGCTCGGCGGTCTTCGGTTTTTTGGCGTCTTCTCTCACTTCAACAAGTTAACGACCAGCAAGGCGTTAGTTTTGTGGCTGCAGTTTATTTCCAAAATATATGCCCTGATTTTAAAACTACGGTGAATTTTATTTCTAGTCAAAAAACAAATTTATTATATCAATAGACCTACAGTAAATGGCAGAAAATGTTGAACTATTGTACCTATTTTATGATCAAACCACTGTACTATATTCTTGGAAATAAATGTTAACATATCTTAACATCGTAAAAAGATACGCATTCCAAAGGTTCTAATCCCGCTATAACTTGTGATTTGTAAAGATTTGGAAGTGTGTTGAATCTGGAACCTCAACCTGTATTGTAGTTCAGTGTGAAAAAAAAATCCGCTGCCTTGTCTCCTGACCAGTTGGTAACAATCTGTCTACGAATGTAATTTACCCATTAATCTTTCAGTGTCCGCGAGAAGCAGAAGTCAACCGGCTCTACCAGCACTTCGAGCGGGGCCGGCGAGGCTTCAGGCGCGGGCCCCAGTGCCCCCGGGGCCCTGTGGCCCCCGCTGCGGGCCCCGGCGCCCGCGCCCGAAGCCGCCGGCGACCCGCGTGCTCTCTGCGCCTCAGGTATATTATGGTTATGTGAGACTGTAGCAAAATGTCTTTAGCAAACCCGCCTAGGCCAAAGACGCTTATAGGGCCAGAACAGACGGTGAAACGCAACTGAAACTTTCTGATGATTCTTAGGCCACTCTTAGGCCCAGAACAGACGGTGAAAAGCAAATGCAACGAAACTGCAACTTTCTGATGATTCTGATGAATGAAACTGAAAGTTTCAAACTGGTCGCGTCATGTGTGGTCTCTCAACGGACGCTATGGCAGAAACTTAGATGCAACTCAAAAGTTACTAGCAGTTGCAGTTTCTAACTGTGTAGGTTTGTTGTCGACACGAAAAGAAGAAGTTGCAATTTCGTTGCAGTTGCGTTTCACCGTCTGTTCTGGGCCTTAGTCTATTTATTACTGTTTTCGGTTACACTTCAGGCCTCACGGGTCCGTATTCTCAAACATTACCTACTATGACTATGAATTTTCACAGTCCCAAAAACTTATTCATAAACAATACTTGAGTGGCGGAGTGACACACACGAACCAATCACAGAGCTCTATTCAACATGACTTCGCGTTCGCATATCATTGCTGCTTCACTTAAACAAGCATCGTTTATGAATACGGGTGTTATTGTCTTCCCATTATGACTTATTCAAAGCATGTCTTAAACTAGAAACGGTATGATGAAACCTCAGGATGAGTCGATTACTTTCGTGACTTACCCCCACTACAGATTAGGCCATGACTTGAACTTGTAGTTCTTCTACCCAGTGGCGGCTGTACATTAAGTGCGCTCGTGCGCTGAACCACCAAAAAAATATTTAAAAAATATCAAATATTACCTCATCTATATTTTTAAATTACCATTTAATAAAAACATACAAATTGTATAAAAAGTTTTTCCAATTATGGTGAAACAGTTTGAGCGCTTTTACTAAACTAATAAGACTTATTTTTCTGTAAAGACAAATTCTCGTGCGCTTCGGCGAGCGCACGCGGACGGCTCATATAACTTGTATGAGATACGGAGCTAATACGCCTGGCGCGTGAGACAAAAGATAGTTCATAGAAATGTACCGAGAAAAGAGTCGGTTCTCGAGCGCCACACGGCGACTCGAAGATTGCCGAGAGCTACCGATGTTTGCCGGCGGCCGGTATGGGCGTGAGGCGACACGGCAGCCATGATTAATTTCATCAATCATGATAATATCTCGCGCGTAAATTTTTTATAGTTTTTATTTTTTGTTATTTCAATATTTTATGAAAGTGCATCACTATTTCGATAACCCACCAGCCGCCACTGCTTCTACGCTTAAAGCTAAATTATGTTCTTAAAGCTTAATTTTATTTTTCTCACCAGGCGTCCTCCACGGCGCGCTCCTCTGCGTGCTACACCGCGGCGTGCACCGACGAGGCGCGCCCGCCACCGCTGCCGGCGCCGCGCCGTCCGCCTCGCCGCACGCGCCGCCCGACCACGTGCTAGCACTAGCCGTGTATTTGTTACGAGTGGCCGCGCATCTGGCTGCTGAGCGCGCTACGCATCATACGGTCAGTCGTCATTTATGTGGTCTTATAGGGTATCGTAGGTTTAGTGGGCCCTCGAGGTTAAGCGCGGCGCACGCGCCGCCCGACCACGTGCTAGCACTAGCGGTGTATCTGCTGCGAGTGGCCGCGCATCTGGCTGCTGAGCGCGCTACACAACATACGGTTAGTCTTAGTCGTCATATATTCAAGTCGCTATAAGTTGTCCTTTAGTTAATATCTCGCATCCGCGCCTGGTGACGCGCCGCCCGACCACGTGCTAGCGTTGGCAGTATATCTGCTGCGAGTGGCCGCGCATCTGGCCGCTGAGCGCGCTACGCATCATACGGTCAGTAACCATACGGTCATGTTGTTATAAGTTCCTCTTTAGTGTATAGTAGGTTGAATGCGCTCTCGAAGCCACGCCGCCTGCCTCGCCGCACGCGCCGCCCGACCACGTGCTAGCGCTAGCGGTGTATCTGCTGCGAGTGGCCGCGCATCTGGCTGCTGAGCGCGCTACGCATCACACGGTCAGTCACCACATATGCGTGTCGCTATAAGTTCCTCTTTAGTGTATAGTAGGTTGAATGCGCTCTCGAAGCCACGCAGCCTGCCTCGCCGCACGCGCCGCCCGACCACGTGCTAGCATTAGCAGTGTATTTGTTACGAGTGGCCGCGCATCTGGCCGCTGAGCGCGCTACGGATCATACGGTTAGTCACAAATTCGCGTCGCTATAAGTGGTCTTATAGGGTATCGTAGGTTTAATGCCCCCTTGGTTAAGCCCGGCGCACGCGCCGCCCGACCACGTGCTAGCGCTGGCGGTGTATCTGTTACGTGTGGCCGCGCATCTGGCTGCTGAGCGCGCTACGTATCATACGGTCAGTCACAAACTCGCGTCGCTGAAAGTTTTCCTTTAGTTAGTATCTCGCAACCGCGCCCGGTGACGCGCCGCCAGTCCACGTGCTAGCGCTAGCCGTGTACCTGCTACGAGTGGCCGCGCATCTGGCTGCTGAGCGCGCTAGGCATCATACGGTTAGTCACTGAAAGAAAGAAAGATACATTTATTACACTGCACACGCGTGTTGCTATAAGTTGTCCTTTAGTGTATGCTAAGATTAATGCGCCGTTCGCCTCGCCGCACGCGCCGCCCGACCACGTGCTAGCGCTGGCGGTGTATCTGCTGCGAGTGGCCGCGCATCTCGCTGCTGAGCGTGCTACGGATCACACGGTTAGTCGCCATATTTTGTCCTTTAGTGTATCTTAAGGTTAGTTCTCTTATTGTATGTGGGGTATTCTTGCGTCATATTGTATTTCAGGCGATCAAAACTTCTAGTCACGAAACTTTCGATCAAGATCATTAAAGCCTTTATTGCTATAACGGTTGCATATTCTGTTGCAAATTACACTAGCACGGTGTGTTATATTCGGATAGAAATTGACCAAATTCCACTTGCTTAGGGCTTACGATAAAACTCGCGCAAGTTCACGCATATCACACATGTGTCTGTAATCAAAAATATGTATGAGCAATGTGGTGTGAGGTGGACGCACGCTGCGAGCTTTTGCTAACGGTATAACCATCCACTCCGTGCCTTGGCGCAAGTTTAACGCCCGTATTCACAAACATTACTATGAGGTCTCACAGTGCGCGTGGACGCACAGGGTGACACACGAACCAATCACAGAGCTCTATTCAACGTTGTGCGTTCGATTTGCAGCTTCACTTAAGCATGCATCGTTTGTTAATACGGGCGTAAGTGTAGTCCTTAGGTACAATCTCGGCATCGTTTGATTTTGAATGCTTTGGCGGTTGTCACACTGTGCCGCGCTCTGCCGCGGAGCGCGTGATTTTCATATAAAAAAATCACGCGCTTGGACGCGTTGTCAGTGTGAAGCGCCGCGCGAGTTTTCTATACAAACTGAGGTACTTGCATACAATTATTAAATCTGTCGCCCCGCGCTCCGCGTCGGAGCGCGGCGCAGTGTGATAACCGCCTTTGATAGATGTATCATTAACACAACAAAAACGTAACATTGTATTCTCTCCGCAGCGCGACGTGTGCGTGCAAGAAGCCGAGGGCTCCGCCCGCGTGTCGGGCGTGCCGCTACTGGGCGCGTTCGCGGGCGCGGCCGTGTGCGACAACGCGCGCACCGTGGTGGCCAGCGTGCCGCCGCGCGCGCGCCCCGCCCCCGCGCCCGCGCAGCCCGCGCGCTACCACTCCGACAGTGAGTACTGGGTCCTAGGGAATAAGGTTCAAATTGACGTGGCAAAATGTAGGACAGAATCTTATAGTCAAGGACTCGCTTTAGCATCCAGCTTTTAGTGTGGCCTCGACATACCAGTGAGAGTAATTTTAAACATTCATACTTTAGCAGTGTTTAATCGATAAATCTATCTTCTCAGGCGACACAGAATGGGAGCCCTCAGAGTCAGAAACGACCCGCCTGCCATCGCTGACGCGAACCGCATCCCTACCAGCCACCAGCACGGCGCTAGCGGTGCCGCCGCCTTTACAGGTATCAGATAACTTACATTTTTTACTAAACATAAATAATTTCATTAATTTCGGGATGACTTTGGAGTTTTTTCCAATTTTTATTATACTTGAGCACTTTTAAGAGATACTTTTGAGAGTTATTAGTGAGATATGTCAGCTTATGCGGTGTCCTAAGTCAGCGATAAAGACGACACAACATAACTTACGCTATGAACTTACCTGTCACGTTCAATCGCGTATCGTATACTATACGCAGACCGTTATCTCAGAGAATGCGGTTGATTTGAAATATTTTATGGCGCAGTTACACTATGCGCACACTTGGTCGAACACAAACGGAACACGGAAGTATAAGCACACACGGCGAAATGAACTGAACTGTGTGTTTACACTATCTGATTTGATCAAGGTTGCTGTCCGAGTCAACTCGCACATTTTTTATTACTAACTACTAACTACATAGTGTAACTGCGCCATTAGGTATAGGTTAAATAGGACCTAAAGAGCGATAATAAATGGGATGAAGTTGTTGTGTTACCAGGTAGTGCAGCGTTCAGACTCCATGCCTGATGACCAGTCCGATGCGGGCGGCGACGCGCCCCAGATGCGAGCGCTAGAGGCAAGTTATATTGCACCTTATCCTCTTTCATTTAAGTACTATTTTAGTTTACTACAAAACATGTGGTGAATGTTGACAATAACAATATGAAATAGACATTGGATATAGTCTGGTCCGTGAGCACGTAGAATTTTGTCCAATGACCCCAAGCTACCCATCCTTATTGCTCGCGTGTAATTATGTTGCTATCGCGCTCGCACACTCACTGCGGGCGCCCGTCGCACAGTCGCGACAGCAATATAATTACGCGCGAGCGATAAGGATGGGTAGCTAGGGGTCATTGGACAAAATTCTACGTGCTCACGGACCGGGCTTTAGAAGTAACTAATTGATAAACTAGTATCATTGAGTAGATGCATGGTGCATAAAATAATATTAGCTAATTCTTCTTTGATTGTTATGCATCTACGGGACTATTCCCACCTCTCGTTCCCACCACTGCAACTCCTGTGTAGCCAGGATCTACAGCTTGACCGCCATAAAAACCCAACCAATGAAGGTCAAGTTTGTCCCCGAGGGTAGTTAAACTGTCATTGGACCCGCAACGAAATTAATCAGAAGAACATAGGACGAGTTCGAAATTAATGTTCGACTTCCCTTCATTGCAAAGCGGATGACAGGTGACAAACAAAGGTTTAAAACCTTTAAACCTTTGTTTGTCACCTCACCTTTTGTTATGCATTTATCCCCATAATAGCGACTTGTTCCTGCATTGTTTACAAATAAGTATGGTTTATTTATACAGGATGTGTCGGACCGGCAAGCGTTGGCGCTGCAGGCGTTAGGAGACTCGATCATGGAATCGGAACCACAGATGACCCTTGCGATACCAGAAACGGAACCTCCACCAGCTATTGATTATGGTGCGTACATATACCTGTGTTTTTTGTATACTTAAGTGTCGATCTCTTAGATTCCTGAAATTATTCCGGTCATGCCAACGTTTGCCATTCCTTTTTACTAAATCCGTGTTTATGTATCCGTTTAACGGAATGGGTCACGCATATACATATGCCCGGTTTTTGAATTGAGATTTCCTGTAGCGTACTCACCTTCTACTCAAACATGAACTCAATAAGATGAGCACGTTTAAGCTTAAAATCTCAATTCAGAAATTGGGTCATAATAGTTGTTAAAATTTCTTAGCATTAAAGAGTCGCGTCTCAAACTCAACGCGGCTACAACAGCATGTTAGACTTGAAAATTGCGACTGGTTCATCAAGTAGCACAGACGGAAGAGCAAGTCGCCCGGCAAGCGAAAGGTCGTGGGTTCGATTAGTGTTCTTTTACACGAGCGGCTCATAGCCGACGGCAGTGTGTGTGCAGTTGTACCTTGTCGTATCCTGTACAAAGAGACAGCTAAAACTGCACCTAACGCCACCTGTCGGCGGCAGTCGTTGATGTGGCGACAGCTGCCGCCTAAAGGTGGCGACAGCTGCCGTTGGCTATGAGCCGCTCGTGTATAAGAAGCCTTAGGGCTATATTTCACCGGGACACTATGGTATGGTCGCAACCAGTCGCCGCTACTAACAAAATGTATACAGCTTTATAGAGAGTTACTCACCTGGTGTCCGTTTGGTTGCGCAAAGCTGTATACATTTTGTTGGTAGCGGCGACTGCTTGCGCCGCCATGGTATCCCGGTGAATTATAGCCCTTAGGCAGTTCGTTTTTTTCGAGTTATTTATAATTTAGGCCAAAATCATTGAGTTTTTTCGTTGATGGTTGTTATGCGTGTGCGCAGAGGTGGGCAACCCCGAGTGGTGCGTGAGCGTGGTGCCGCCGCGGCCCGCGCTGCCCGCGCCGCAGCCGTCCACCAGCACGCAGGTAACTCGAGCTGACACAGTAAGGCCACAAAATATAACAGAAGAAAAACTCCATACTAAGCGCGCTCGAGCCACGCACACATAGACACCGCTCACGTACGCGTTATCAAGACTGTCTTGGACGAATGCGAGGCGCGACTGCGTTCGCTTGAGTGACGCTGCTCACGCGTTCGTAAAATTATTTTGTTTGTGCGAAAATTAGTGAACAACAAGAAAGGGGTATTATAACATTTGTTAAGTAGACGGTTGCTTACACTCAACATTAAAAACTAAATTTTCGTTTTTGAAACTAACAGTTGATTCCGGGAGGTAAGTAAGGTATTTATTTGTATTTCAATAGTTCGTTTAACGTTGACAAATTGAAAGCCAACTCAATTATTAGGAATATCGAATTGTTTTAGAGAGGTTTTAGGAATTATTGGATAATAGTGTCAACCACGCAACTAAATACTACTTCCTTCTCGTGTATTTGTTTGCAAACTATTACTATAATAACGTACTAAATATAACTGCATATGTAATCTGTTATTGTCTTTCTTCCATAGTATTAAGAGTATCATTTTTCTATCATAAAGAAATAAACGCAACACATGACAGGACAACCCTAGCGCGACGGCCGAGCGTGCGAGCGAGAGGTATGCAAAGCGAGGTACATACATGAGTTTACCTTCTGTTATATTTTGTGGTGGCGGTTACGCATGACGACAGATTTAATCATTGTATGCAAGTACCTCAGTTTGTATAGAAAACACGCGCGGCACAACACACAGACAACGCGTCTGCGCGCGGGATTTTTTATATGAAATCACGCGCTCGGCGGAGCGCGGCGCAGTGTGATGCCCGCCTAACTACCCTCCAGTTTTTTATTCTGTTTATTCTTGTATTACTATGACGACAAATTCAAATAAATAATTTGAATTTGACGACCCTCCAAGTTACTCAAACATTATCTCCGTATAAAACTCACATAGCTTCATACCTTTGCTGTATAAAAACCTTTCTGTTACACAGGCTACGGCCTGATGCCCCAGGCATACCAAGATCAATATAAAAATAATTATATTCAATTTTAAACCATTCTTTACTTGTTTCTCAAAATGAATGGGAATCAAACAGTTATCGTTATGCATTTTTCATCCTGATTTTGATTATATCAGTATCCAGAACAGAATCTCTGAAAACTCAAAACTAAAAACTGTTTAATTTTATTATTAGAAACAAAACATAAGAGACATGAATATAAACACAAATATAAATTGTCCTACATGTAGAATCCAGAAATAACAAAAATAAGAGTAAACAAGGCTTTAAACTAACCTTTGTAGTATCGAAAATAATTCCAAAATCCTGGTTCGTTTTGATCCATAGTTGCAAGTACACAACCAACCACAGGACGAGTCGATTCCGGTGAACGAATCGATAATATCGCTGCTAATGAAACTGCATTCGCAACTGTCGGGAAGGCTGGACTCCTTCTCACTCGAAGAACCGGCTCCTGAAACTGACGAACCTATTGGTAAATTAATTTCTACCTAAAACTTTTATAGAAAGCACTTTCACATATATAAATCAATGAATCAACCGCTTGGTCTCTTCTCTCTTGTTCTCTGCTTGACCTGTGATTGACTGGTAGAGAATTTAAGTCCGCCACTGTACAACAATAAGTGGTCTTGCGAAAAAAAAAAAGAGACTAAAAACTCCAAAGAAAATCAAGAAGTTACCTTGATTGACTATTGATTAAACATGTTTGTATCAGCATTGTTAAAATCTGTTATTTTTTTTTACATTATGTTCGTATTAATTTTCCAGGTGTTGTGTTAATGTTTAATACATGTGTTTTATGATTCCTTTAGGTGACGGCCCACACTTCATCGGCCAAGTGCTACGCGCGCTGGCCAAGTTAGACGCCCGATGCGCGTCCGCCATCGCGCACGTTCGGCAGACGCTGTGGCCCAACCAGCGGGAGCGACAGGCCGAACAGCGGGCCAGGTAAGCTGCGCTCTTATACAGTGTGAGTCACGTTAAAGTGTACATATGAAAATAGATGAAACTAGACCTATTTTTATCGACAAAAAAGAGGTCAAAATTTTTTTTAGATTTTTTTTTTTTAAATTATAGAATTTTTTTTCTTTCAAGTACTTATTGTAAAGAAAACGTAATAAATGTTGTAATAAACGTAGCAAATGTTGTGATAGGGATAGAGACATGCGATTTTTGGTTTTACAAAGGTAATACGATAGAGAATAATACAAAACAATAAAAACCACTTGTTATAGGGGCATTTTTTGGAGAAATTTATCAAATAACCAAAAAAACACGAATTTGTAAGCAGATTTTTTTCGAAAAGTATCATTTTTTTATTATTTGTTGGAATTTTCTGAGTATTTTATGTATTTTTTAGTATCGTCTGTTATTTACCATTATTACTGTTTTTGTTTTATAAGCATATACCTCTTAGTTTGAAAGTTATTACGTTTTCTTTACTATAAGTAATTGGAAGAAAAATAATTCTATAAAAAATAAAAAAAAAATCTCAAAAAATTTTTGACCTCTTTTTTGTCGATAAAAATAGGTCTAGTTTCATCTATTTTCATATGTACACTTTAACGTGACTCACACAGTATGCTGATGTATAGACTAATCCTAGTGTGAAATAGACAGACATATTTTTTTCTGTTTAGCGCAAAGGCAGATAATGCTCAATGATGTTCATTACGTTGCATTATGTGCGTCTTATGTACCATTAAAGAATAAATAAATTAAATATCAAATTTTGATGTGGATCCTGTACAAAAGTTATTGTATTTGAATACCGGATTCTCCCTTCTTTGTATTGGACAGGTTTTTTAAATACTTTATATTCTGTTAGGTATTGTGGAAAAGTCGATACTTCTCAGTAAGATAGCTGGCGTCGATTAGATAAGGGGACTAGTGATGTCTTTTGGAATGTCGTTTACGTAGGGCTGTAGCTGTGTGTGTGCAAAATGTATCAACATTTTACCATCTAAAGCCTGGTCCGTGAGCACGTAGAATTTTGTCCAATGACCCCAAGCTACCCATCCTTATCGCTCGCGCGTAATTATGTTGCTGTCGCGCTCACACATTCACTGCGGGCGCGCGTCGCACAGTCGCGACAGCAATATAATTACGCGCGTGCGATAAGGATGGGTAGCTTGGGGTCATTGGACAAAATTCTACGTGCTCACGGACCAGGCTTTAGCAGTAACTTGTTGCAAAAACACTGCGGATTTATGTGCGGAACTGCGGATATTATTTATTCATAGCCCAGTAAATCATCAGCATCTCGTTGGTTGTGTGTACAGAGAACGACGTGAGAAGGAGGAGCGCTCACGACGCGCGCGCGATCGTCAAGCGGCCGTCATGCGAGAGTTCGCTCGCAAGCAGCAGCAGTTCCTCTCGCACGTGCAGGCGGCGGCCGCCAGCGAGCAGATGGACTGGGACGCCGACGAGCCGCTGCGGCACTACGACTGCGTCATCTGCAACACCACCGCGCCCGCCTCGCACCACGACCCGATTGGGCTGTGTGCGCTGCTGCAGGTAAAGTGTTAAAGTGTCCTCCTTCCCTCTCCTCTTTCAAACAGTGGCTGTATGCAGGATAGCTTATGATTTGGACGGGAAACTAGGGATTTTAGGGATGAAAAACTGTCAGAGTGAGAATTCTGTGACAACTGTAGTGACAAAAAATAAAAACAAATCAATACATAGCCATAAATACTAACTTACAACTAGAAAAGAGGGTGTAGTTAGGCACAGGCTGCACGCCACTAAACTTGCGATACTACCGCGCCCGCCTCGCACCACTGGGGCTATTGGCCTATGTTCGCTGCTGCAGGTAAAGTGTTATCACCCACCAACATCTTCCCACATAAGCCACAAGAAATGCCACACCAACCAGTGTACCCCTCTTCGCCTCAAGTACTCCAACCCATTCCCATTGCGGGACTACGACTGCGTCATCTGCAACACCACCGCGCCCGCCTCGCACCACGACCCGATTGGGCTGTGTGCGCTGCTCCAGGTAAAGTGTTGTCACCCACCATCATCTTCCCACATCGTTCGTTCGTTTCAGCAAAATGTCGTCCACTGCTGGACAAAGGCCTCCTCCAAGGTTTTCCACAATGCACGGTCCTGCGCTGCCCGCATCCTGGCTCTTCCCGCGACCTTTACCACACAAGCCACAAGAAATGCCACACCATTCAGTGGCTCCCTCTCCTCGGCCCAAGCCATTCTCACCGCGTCTGCGCGCTATTAAACTTGCGACGAAACCGCACCCGTCTCGTACCACGAGCCTATTGGGCTGTGTGCACTGCTGCAGGTAAAGTGTCTCTCCATCCCCCATCACCACGCTTCCATCGCAGAACGGGACTATTCCCACCTCTCTTTCCCACTATTGCAACTCCTGTGTAGCCAGGATCTACAGCTTGACCGCCAATAAAAACCCGACCAGTTAAAGTCAAGTTTGTCCCGGGGGATAGTTAAACTGTCATTTGACCCGCAACGAACCCCTAGCCTCATGTGTCATCCCACTTCTTCGTTTGTCTGGCGACTACTCTGACCGCTGAACTATGGAGACATTGGATAAATCCGCATCGTCCTAAGATTTCCACAACGACCGGTCTTGAGTTAGGAACTATTCCCGCCTACTTCCCACCGCTGTAACTCTTGATTAGCCAGTGAAGGTCAAGTTTGTCCCGGAAAATAAACTGTCTTTGGACCTGCAACGAAATATTTAGACAAAACGAAGGTTCATCATTCAAGGTTCTGAAAAGAAATCCACCTACACTACCCGCATTCAGGTGCTTCCTGTGACCTTCAATAGATCATCGGTCCAACGAATGAGGGTAGTTGTAGAAGCTTTTGCCCAACACTGGACGTCCATTGTCTGCAACGAACAATAATCCAAGACAACATATTTACGTGAGTTTCTATTCACAGTCCACCTCAGTCCTCGGGCACCGGCGGAAAGCCGGCAGCGGCGACGCACGCCTGGCACTATCTGAAGCCGAGCGCGCGAGACTGGCGGCGCAGCACGACACCACCGCCGCCGCCCACCACTACCGGTTACACGACGACTTGCACGCGCACTTTGACCAGGTAACATCTTGTGTTGATTACTACGATACTATGACGTCAGCGAGTCAGACTGGCGGCGCAGCACGACACCACCGCCGCCGCCCACCACTACCGGTTACACGACGACTTGCACGCGCACTTTGACCAGGTAAATAATAATAATAATAAGATTTTTGTTTTTATAATGTATTTTTATTTTTTGATAATTACATTGTAAAAAGAAAAAAATAAAAATAAGGAAGAAAAATGAATAAAGGAGATAATAATAAATATCCTTAGACATTTTACACTGCGCTTCTAGTCCCAAACTAAGCAAAGCTTGTACTATGGGTACTAGACAACGGATATAAACATACTTAAATACTTTTTTTTGTAAATACATACTTATTATACATAGAAAACACCCAGTCTAATACAAACAAATATGTTCATGCACACAAATGTTTGTACTGTGCGGGAATCGAACCCGCTACCTCCGGAATAGTAGCCCGTTTCGAACCACTACACCAAACGGCTGATGAAAATACATCTTGTGTTCGCTCTGATTACTACGCTATTATGCCGTTACCAGCGTCATAAGCTTCATCAAGTGTTTCATGAAGATTTGTAATGATTCTGAAAGACAAGTGGCAAAAATCTGAACTAATATCCAGTATTGATAGTAGCTCCCTTTTGTCTTGTAGTGCAGTCCAACAAGTGTATGAGTTAAGAAGCCTTTTGCGTCCACAGAGACTAACGCTCGCCGACCTAGATAGTACAAATATGTTGTTTTACCGCAGGAATCATGGCTGATGAGTGTGAGCGTGGGTTGGGAAGGCGGAGTTCACGTACAATCTTGTGGACATCATCTACATTTACGGTGTTTACAGGTATGAATATTTGACATAATTTCTTCAAGATTATGTGTAAGGCCCGGTTTCCATCAAGGCGGCTCGGTTTCAATCAGATTTCATTATTTCCACATCTCACCGCTATGTTCCACCTTGTTGGAAATCGGGCCTTGCTGTTACATTGAAATTGTCATTTGTGTACTACAAAATGTCCACAATATCATTTATTTACCTCGGCTAGCAGTTTTATTTTTGCTGTGTTCATTTGCAATCAGTCCTAAGACTATGAGCAAATCTGTTCTGTGATGTTAGCAGAAGTAGAAAGAACTTTGAAATTTTCCAATATCCTGACGTCACTTTCGTTTCAGCTATACCTCCGGAGTTTATCAGCGCCGCAACGACCTCACAATCTCCACGTGGACCGCGGCGAGTTCCTGTGTCCCGTCTGCAGGCAGCTCGCCAACACCGTGCTGCCGCTCGCGCCGCCGCCGCCGCCCGCGCGCCCCCGCCACGCGCCCCCGCCGCACCAGCGCCTCGCCGACCAGCTGCTGCAGCAGCTGCAGCTGCAGCACCAGGCGCCGGTGAGTACCGCCCGCCGCCGCCCGCGCGCCCGCCACGCGCCCCCGCCGCACCAGCGCCTCGCCGACCAGCTGCTGCAGCAGCTGCAGCTGCAGCACCAGGCGCCGGTGAGTACCGCCCGCCGCCGCCCGCGCAGTTCTCCTCTATGTGGTAAAATTTTCTCGTTGTGATTAAAAAAAGTTTTAATACATTTTTTTTTCCGAACAGAGTCCAAGCCGCCTATCCGAATCGATGGGCAAAGCGATGGAAGACATGACCTCAATGGCGGGCAGCAAGCTCCGACAGCGGTACGGGACGTCGCCGGCCGCCATCTTTACCTTCGTGGCGTCGCTGGTGCGGACCAATCTTGAGTGCGAGCTGGTGCAGCGAGGCGGCAGTTTGGTCAGCCACCCGCCGCCGCGGTATAAGCCTAGGAATGACTGTATTGGTAAGTCGCAATTTTTTTACATCATTTTACCTTACAACATTCTATTGTAACAGTATACGTAAGCTTAAGAACTGCTACAAAAACATTCTTAAGATTCTCTTCATTCAGCTGACTGCTAAACTGTCAGCTTTTATCTTTCTACAGTTTGTCTGTTCATTGAGTGGCTGGGCATCCTATACTCTCTTTGCTATGACGTGGTCTCAAGTTAAGATCCCGTTTACTCCATTTTAGTCGGTTCTATAATAGTATAGTCGCATCATTACAACATAAGCCCGCTACTTTTTTTTACAATAACATTTCTTTGAAAATTTTAAAAGTTCGACGGGTTCATCCAGTGTGTAGTAGCTCAGTTGGAAGAGCAGTCGCCCGGCAAGTGAAAGGTCGTGGGTTCGATTCCAGCCTTAGGCAGTTCGATTTTTTTCAAGTTATTTATTTAAAACTAGCTTTCCGCCCGCGGCTTCGCCCGCGTGGAATTTTGTCTGTCACAGAAAAACAATATCGCGCGCGTATTTACTCACCGTTTAGACCTACCCTGGACTACGACAAACATTTTAAAACCAAAATCAGCTCCATCGGCCCAGCCGTTTTCGAGTTATAATCAGACTAACGAACATCAATTCATTTTTATTTATATAGATTAACATTTCTTTTATCTTCTGTCTACATTTTAAAACTCGTGGCAATCATTGATGTTGATGTTATGACTGGTTCATGTCGCCAGCGCCACCTGTATTACTATAGTCATGTATTCGTTTGTCCGCAGTACCGCTAATGGTAGTAGCGGGCACACACGTCCGCGCACTTCGTGCCGCCGGCGCAGAACTAGGCGCGGCAGAAACATGGCGCTGGCTCGCGCCGCCCGCCGCCGCCGCGCCCGCCGGGCCCTCGGCGCCGCCGGTACCCGCCCCCGCCGGACCAAGGGCCGTGCCCTTACTGCTGAGGGATCCCTGTGCGCTACTGCTGCATATGTTGTTGTTGGCGCCGCAGAGACCCCCACATCTTGACATGGGTAAGTGCGCAGACAAACCGCCAGCGAACATCAAAGATTGTCCAAAATGGAAACGTCGGACAATCATGAAACAACTGCGTGTTAGTTCTCGCGCCGCCCGCCGCCGCCGCGCCCGCCGGGCCCTCGGCACCGCCGGTACCGGCCCCCGCCGGCCCAAGGGCCGTGCCCTTACTGCTGAGGGATCCCTGTGCGCTGCTGCTGCATATGCTGCTTTTGGCGCCGCAGAGACCCCCACATCTTGACATGGGTGAGTCATAAAACCAAGTCAATAAAGGACGGACGCAAGCGACGTTCGACTGGCGAGCGAACATCAAAGATCGTAGGACACGCATGAAACAACTAAGTACTACTCCGCGCTGCTCGCCGCCGCCGCGCCCGCCGGGCCCTCGGCACCGCCGGTACCCGCCCCCGCCGGACCAAGGGCCGTGCCCTTACTGCTGAGGGATCCCTGCGCGCTGCTGTTACATATGCTGCTGCTAGCACCGCAGAGACCACCGCATCTTGACATGGGTGAGTTATGACTCACCAAGCCAATGAAGAACGGACGCAAGCGATCGTTGACTCGCGAGCGAACATCAAAAATCGTAGGATACGCATGAAACAACTAAATAGGTACTACTCTGTGTCGCCCGCGCTCGCCGGGCCCTCCGCGCCGCCTGTACCGGCCCCCGCTGGGCCTAGGGCCGTGATCTTACTGCTGAGGGATCCTTGCACGCTGCTGCTGCATATGCTGCTGCTAGCGCCGCAAAGACCACCGCATCTTGACATGGGTAAGTGCGCAGACAAACCGCCAGCGAACACCAAAGATTGTCCAAAATGGAAACGTCGGACAATCATGAAACAACTGCGTGTTAGTTCTCGCGCCGGGCCCTCCGCGCCGCCTGTGCCCGCGCCCGCCGGCCCAAGGGCCGTGCCCTTACTGCTAAGGGATCCCTGTACGCTGCTGTTACATATGCTGCTACTAGCGCCGCAGCGGCCACCGCATCTTGACATGGGTAAGTGCGCAGGCGCAGGACGAAGAAAAACGGACGCAAGCAACGTTCGATTAGCGAGCGAACATCAAAGATTGTTCAAAATGGAAGCGTGAGACACTCCTGATACAACTACATGCTACTCCCCCGCGTTGCCCGCCGCCGCCGCGCCCGCCGGGCCATCGGCGCCGCCGGTACCCGCCCCCGCCGGACCAAGGGCCGTGCCCTTACTGCTGAGGGATCCTTGCGCCCTGCTGTTACATATGCTGCTACTAGCGCCGCAAAGACCACCGCATCTTGACATGGGTGAGTCATAAGAACCTAGTCAATGAAGAACGGACGCAAGCGACGTTTAACTCGCGAGTGAACATCAGAGATCGTAGGACACGCATGAAACAACTAAGTACTACTCCGCGCTGCTCGCCGCCGCCGCGCCCGCCGGGCCCTCCGCACCGCCGGTACCAGCCCCCGCCGGACCAAGGGCCGTGTCCTTACTGCTGAGGGATCCCTGTGCGCTGCTGTTACATATGCTGCTGTTGGCGCCGCAGCGGCCGCCGCATCTTGACATGGGTAAGTGTGCGTATGCGCAGGACGTATAGGGAGAAAGAGAAGGAATGCGAGCCATGGACACCTCACGAGCAAACATCAAAGATTGTTCAAAATGGAAGCGTGAGACACTCGTGAGTCAACTACATGCTACTTCCCCGCGTTGCCCGCCGCCGCCGCGCCCGCCGGGCCCTCGGCGCCGCCTGTACCGGCCCCCGCTGGGCCTAGGGCCGTGCCCTTACTGCTGAGGGATCCTTGCACGCTGCTGCTGCACATGCTGCTGCTAGGGCCGCAACGGCCGCCGCATCTTGACATGGGTGAGTCATAACCAATTCAATGAAGAAGGGACGCAAGAGACGTTCGACTGGCGAGCGAACATCAAAGATCGTAGGACACGCATGAAACAACTACGTACTACTCCTCCGCGCGGGCCCGCCGCCGCGCCCGCCGGGCCCTCGGCGCCGCCGTTACCGGCTCCCGCCGGACCAAGGGCTGTGTTACTGTTGCTGATGGATCCCTGTACGCTGCTGCTGCATATGCTGCTATTGGCGCCGTAGCGGCCGCCGCATCTTGACATGGGTGAGTCATAAAAACCTTGTCAATGAAGAACGGACGCAAGCGACCTTTGACCGCGAGCGAACATCATTCAAAATAAAACATGAGACGCTCGTGAAACCATTAACCAACCAATTCCGTGCCGCCCATACTCGCACCCGCCGGGCCCTCCGCCCTCGCGGGCCCGAGAGCCGTGCCCTTACTGCTGAGGGATCCTTGTGCGCTGCTACTGCATATGCTGCTGCTAGCGCCGCAGCGGCCGCCGCATCTTGACATGGGTGAGTGCGCAGGCGCAGAACGTGGAAAAAAGGACCCTTCGACCCTCAAAAACGATCGGCTCCTGGCTCTCAAAAACTTTTCAGCAAACAATCAAAACCAAATCAACTTGCATTATTAACGCCTATGTAGTGAGGGTAATGTATGTGGTGAGGGTACTCATGACCGTCGCCAAATGTAACGATATTCCATTCTGCGAGGATTTGCCAACTTTCATAAGAGCTACAAACGAGACAGACAGCATAACAAGCACGCATTTAAAGGTCACATCTAGTGTGTCGTGTCTCACCACTTACTCATAATATGAGACCCATATTATGGGTAATCTTTAATGAAATCTTTCCTATTCCAGAACAATTCACCTGCGTCGTCCGCTCCCTCTACGCACTCACCTACTACCAGATAGTCTGCCAGTTCATTGCCAGCACCAACGCGGAAGGCCGCGCGGCATTAGGCGCGGCGGCGCCCGCGGGCCCGGGCTCCGGACTACGGGCCGCCGCGAGGTTGCTATTGGCAGCCCTGGCTGATTCAGAACTGTTCACTGAGGATGGGCCAGCCTCGCCGCACGCTGAGAAACCTAATCTGGATATAGCTCAGTTGGAGGCGCAGGTACGAAAAAAAAAAATGAAAAATATGTTATGAGACTCACTATAGACAGTCATTGTTATTCAAACTTCCCGCGTACAAACCCTGGCACGTTAGTAAAAATGATACACTATGGTTTTTTAAAAAGTTAGATTTGACAGATTGTTTTTGTTTAATGGCGTCTGTACGGAAAACTAAAGGAATATTTTAATTGTGAAGCAAATAGCTTTAAATGTTGTTTTATAATACAAAAAGCCAAAAGTGTTGCTCTTTTCAAAGCTTTTCAAATATTTTATTGACACTTAGTAAGCATGTTGGGGAATTCCTCTCTTTAACCTCGTAAGTCCCCGCGTACTTGTACAAGTACATATTAAGGATAGTAGTTCAGACCTGACATTTAAAAACTACATAGCAAGAGTAACTGCCGAATGTACTTACCCAAGTACAAATCTTTCATTCCCCATTTACCGGGTAGTTTTTTTACAATGGCAAAAATGATATGACCATACTCATTCAATACTCTATGGTCAATTCCGCCATGTTAGACAGGTAACGTCAACTGTCAGTGTCAGTGTCATTTTTTCGCAAAATGGTCACGGGGTCGGATTGCCGGCTGGCACGAGGATAGTTTATCTGTTTATATCAAAGTAATCTTTGGTTTTTTATCTTGTTTTTTAAATGTATCAGTAAATATAAATTATAGTTTTTGTAAATTAAACAAAATTTAAAAAGAAACTTAGTATTTTATGAGGTTCATGGTCGGTCAAAATAATTTGTACTTGATATAGTACGTTAGGCATTTGTTACCCAAAAAATTGTATGAAATTTGTATTAGGTATGAAATTAGCGTTTTTTTTTCTTCAATGTTCATTACTATGTAATTTCTTTCATAGTATAGCTATGTCCATCATTCTTTTATTATTTGAAATTTGACTTCAAGAGCTTACTTTTACGTATAAAATGCTAAACTTAATTTGATTTTTTTAATTTGAATTAAATTTTCAAAGACAGCTCGTCCTAATTGTCGTCCGTTTCCATTAAACAAAAATAAATATATATTTTATACAGACACCAATTTTCAAAAAATGTTTTAGTTTTTTTATAGCTTAATGTTGTTTCAATCTACCTACAAAATTTCATAAAGTTTGAATTTACGGCTTTTTAAAAAATCCCAAAAATATTAGTATGAAAAAAATAATTTTGGTGAAATTCTCCATATAAAACGCTAAGGCCAAATAATTTTGTCTTAAAGACTGAATTTTATAATTATTGCTTACTTAAGTGACGTTTAGAAGAAAAAAATGATTTATTTTTAATACATAAATAAAACCTTCATCTTAATTATATCATTTTTTTACACTGTATAAAAAGCCTAACGTACTTACAGGAGTACAAACTATATTCAATATTTTTCTTTTAAAACAGGTGCTAAAGATGCTTAACTTCCAGTAAAAAATACAAAACATAAGGTAACACTTAAAAAACTATGTAAAACCGTCAATATTTTATCTCGGTCTGAAGCACATTTCTTAGTTTGTACTTGGTATAGTACATCCGGCAGATATGAATACTGCTGTTGAAAAAACACAGGACTTACGAGGTTAAGTTTAAGTAACCTGTATTGAGAGGAATCTACTCTTTCGTCACATCCATAGATGTTCTAAACTTACATTATGAAAATATTACCCATTTAATAACAAACACACTGGGTATATGGGTTTTTCGATGTGAAATCTGTCTTAAGCCGGGTCTCCAGGGCGTGTTTTGCCCTACACAATCAACAAAATAAAACATTTCAATATTCAACAAAATTACCTACAAAAATTTTGAATGTTGAGTTGACATGTTTTATTGATGGTGTAAGACAAAACACGCGCTGGAGACCCGGTTGTAAGGGGCTGTAAAATGTCTACTTGTAGCAACTTTCATGTTGTCGCAAAAATATTCAATATAGCATAACGACTTTATCATTACTATTATTGTTCTACACTGCAGGAGCCTGCCCTCTTTAATTTTACCTGAATCAAATGGAGAATTTTGCTTAAATTTTGCGGATTGACTAACCTTCAAAGAAAGAAACATGAAGCCTTGCGAACCTGTTATTTGTGACACACTATCTCGCGGTTCCACATGGCTCAAAATCAAAATAAAAATCAAAAATATTTATTCAGTTTAGACCACAAGTGCTTATGAACGTCAAAATATAGAAAATAATAAAAAAGAAAACGCAGCCCTTATGGGGCACTTTACATGTCTCTTTATCTTTTTCTATTTATCTTGACTCCTCGATCTTGTGTCCGTTGCTGATGACGCGTCATTCACAGCTGCAAGAACTGCTGCTACCGTTCGTACGCTTGGCGGCGCTGCTGCGACACCACTTATATGACTGCGAGCTGCCCGAGATCCAGACGCCGCGCCAGGAGTTCGTGCGCCTGGCTTATTACCTCGAGCTGGTGAGTCCATACTACTAAAGCCCGGTCTTTGAGCACGTAGAATTTTGTCCAATGACCCCAATCTACCCATCCTCATCGCTCGCGCGTAATGAGGGGACTATCGTTTTTATACTTAACAAATGGCACCCCTGGCGATTGACAGGACCTTACTCTACAGTGGCGCCATCTTGATGAGTGCAAATGCGATAGTCCTCCTACCACTTTAGCGCTCACAAGTTGGCGCCACTGTCTTCGCCACTAGCAAGTGACAGGACCTTACTCTACAGTGGCGCCATCTTGATGAGTGCAAATGCGATAGTCCTCCTACCACTTTAGCGCTCACAAGTTGGCGCCACTGTCTTCGCCACTAGCAAGTGACAGGACCTTACTCTACAGTGGCGCTAACTGGTGAGCGCTAAAACGATAGCCCTCATTATGTTGCTGTCGCGCTCGCACACTCACTGCGGGCGCCCGTCGCACAGTCGCGACAGCAATCAGACTATACTACCGCAATATACGAGTAGTTTGAAGTATTAAGGGTCAAAGATTTCTCTAAATAAATAAACATCCTTGGACATTTTACACTACGCCTCTAGCCCTAGCCAAGCTTGTACTAGTACAAGCGTAAATACTAGAATGTTTTGTTATTAAAGTACACTGGTACACTGCAAGCTTAAATAATTATGGTGAGAACTACACTACGTTAAACAAGACCAGGGATGGGGCGTAGCTTCCGCCGTATCAATGATATGAAACCCTCATGGACGAATTAACTATTTGGCAGAGTAGTAAACTGCCTAGGGCCCCAAAACGTTTAAATACGATAGGGGTTTTTCCTACAACGTCAAAATATGAGGGGGGGTTTGTTTTCTGGTGTTTAGATGAAAGTGAAAGAGCGAACACCAACAAATCTTGATACAAAGCTCGTCTAATGCCCCTTTTCACCATCAATCCCTAATTTTTAAGTGACCCCTATATAAACAAAATTCCTGTTATTTGTTACCATAGTTGTGACTTAGAAATTAGGGATTGATAGTGAAAACGGGCTTAAGGCACGCTCCGTTACTGGACAACTCTTTATGACGTCATACTCTATATACCTCTCTTCTTTAGGTAACGGACGGCATGCAGTGGTCGGACTGGTCGGCCGCGCAAGCGTTGCTGCCCGACGTGCCGCGTGCCGCCTTCGCCTGGGCGCGGCAACTGGGCGCCGCCGCCGCCAGGGGACAACTCGTGGTGAGTTCAAGGGTTATTTTAACAACTAGCGGCCGCCCGCGACTTCGTACGCGTGGATCCCGTTTTACCCCCCCCTTCATCTATCTTACGCGGTTTAGATTTTTTCATACAAATGTTTTTTCCCACTAACTCCCGTTCGCGTGGGAATTTCGGGAATTCCTTTTTTAGTGCACCTCTACGGTACCTAAGCTACGAGTACGTCCCTTCCAAAGAAGAACGGTCACGCCCCATACAAAAAAAAAACCAGACCCGACAGAAACGAGACATACCTCAGTTTTTTTGTCATGTCTTAATTAGTTTAATTATATATTTTTTATATTCGAAATCTATGTATAACACCATAATATGACCCTTTGTTTTTGTTCAGGCGTTATACAAAAACTAATACAAAATGCCTATTTATCACCAAAATTGGTAAATGTATGTACCTAAATGTCTATTACAGCTGCTATGGAATGTATCTAGGTGACCTGGAGATACAGCCGGATTGTACTACGGATTTTGGTGTTATAAATAGATTTCGAATATAAAAAATATATAATTTAACTAATTAGGACATGACAAATAAACTGAGGTATGTCTCGTTTCTGTCGGGCCTGGGTCACAGATGACCGTTCTCCTTTCAAGTGCCTACGTTTAGCCGTTTAGGCTGTGTGTTGATATGTCACTAAGTCAGTCAATTTCTCCTTTTATATATTTAGACTAGCGGCCGCCCGCGACTTCGTACGCGTGGACCTCGTTTTACTCCATTAGGGGTGGAGTTTCGTAAAATCCGCTCTTAGCATCTATAGCGCATGCATTTGAAATTTCAACTCTCTTACTTTAAACACATAGGACTTTCATAATATAAACTTCCAACCCTCCTTTTATCTCCTTAGCCCCCGTAGTTGATCTCTAATGATACATTTTCAGTATATGTACCACCACCACCACCACCATTTCAGCCATAGGACGTCCACTGCTGAACATAGGCCTCCCCCAANACATGAGCCAAATTTGAAGTGTTAATGCACAGTAGTTTTTGAATGATGAGGAGTCTAAAGTGGCTCCAAGTGGTTCGTCTAAATATACGCACGGTGCAGTCCCCTCCCTGGAACTAGGCTTAACATGCTCCCGCATGTCTAGAATGTTTGCTCAATGTTGATTTAGTCGATTTTCTCCAAATGGGAACATGTAAGACAAAAATAAAATTTCCAATATTACAGACCTTGTAGACTAGATGCCGCGAAAACTATACAAGATATAGAAAAACTTGAATATCTCACCTATAGCAAATTGAATAAGCTTTTTTTGGTTCATAGTGGTCATGTCAGTAGGACGCATAGTTTACGAGGATTAAGCGAAAAACCGAAAAGTGGCACCTTTAAACCCCCCTCTCCCCGCCGGCTCAAGGGCTAAGGGTGGGGACTTTTGCTATGATCACCTCNAATGTACGATCAAGATGTGTCTGTGTAAGAACCCGAATAATAAATGCTTATCTCGCTAACTATCGGTCTTTTCATTAAAGAAACACAAGTTCTGATAACCATAAGAAAATAAGTAGTGACTAAAACCTTTTAGGAACCTAAACTTGACAAACATTCATTCATAAACAAAAGTAATTGTCAGACTTCAAATCATGTCAATTTGTTCTTCTAGTTTTTCAACTAAATTTTCTTGACGATTCCAAAAAATTCCAAGAAGAAGAAGATTGTTGGTTTTCAATTGGCGATACATACCTACAATATTTTAAATGAATCGATCTTCATAGGTTGAGAGCAGTGGTACCGGTAATAAAGAGCCGGTAATGAAATAAAAGTTTTAAAGGAGGTAAAAGACTGTAAACGGTAAGAATACCAATTTTACGCGGGCAGCATTTTTTCTCATTTATATTCCTTTATATTTTTACATACAATCCATCTGATAGAAATAGGATTCGGAATTTTATAACTTAGGGGAACCTGTTGTACTTAGGCCAGTTTTTCGAATTTTGATTTTTTGAAAAATAATGGTAATAGTTAAACTTGTCTAGTGCACTTATATTTAAGGGTCATTCCACAAAAATATGTCAACTCTTAGTCCGCGCCACATTTCACATGGAATATTTGTTAATATTTTATTCCAAAATTGTTAAATAACAGCTCGCAATGTGTTTTATTTACTATTACCCATTTATATTTTCTAAAACAATTTTTAAAACATCTTAAATTCCTTTTAAATGACCCAAAACGTCATTCCCTAGGCATGTCCGTACTCCAAAAGTTTGTGTTTTGGAACCCATATTTATAGAAACATCAACTTGATCCTTTGTTTTAATTAACGAACAATCTATTTAAACGTATATTACACCCAATTCTTTTAATATCTTGCGGTTTCAATAAACAATAATTTGATTTTCTTAAGTTGAAAAAGAGTCCACAGCTTTTAGCGTCATTCCCTCGCCACGCACTGATTTTATAATTTTGCGCTTTAATATGTATTTAGAGTGAATGACATTTAGTTGAGTTTAAACTACGATACAAAGTTATCCTCAGACCATACTGGCTTAGCGGCAGCCGTTTTTTGAATTAGTGCAAACGTGCGAGTTGTTGCGGAAACATGTGTTGATCCAGTCTCTTCGTCAGTCCCTAGTTGAGTAGTTTTATTGATTACAATAGGAAATTGTATGTAATTTAATAGTATTTACGTGTGGTTTTTCGGCTATTTTCGGCACATCGTATTAAGCATCTTATAATTAAAAGTTAATCTGCATTTGTGTTAAGTTCGAAATCGTCAGTCCCTAGACCGTCAGGCCCTAGCTTAAAACGGCGCTGGGGACTAGGTTACTAGTTAGGGAACGAAGTTTTTTATATAGTGATAATAACAAAACAACTACATTAAGTATATTAACTTATCTATAAATGTTAAGGTCATAAGTTTTATACTTTATGAAAAGTCATATAGGTAGGAGTAATGTAGTATGAAAAATTTAAAAATTATAATTTCTCCTAAAATAAAGCATAAAGTGACTGGCCCTTTTAGACATAACATAATTAATATAATTTACACTAATAAAGTATTCAAAAGCATCTTAAAAAAGTTTAGGACAAAATGACGTCGAAAATATACAGATTTTTATGGAATGACCCTTAAAGATGATTTAATTAACTACATAATTCATTCATAAAATTGTGTATAATTTTAAAAATTTGGGCATACTAGCTGCTAGAAAAAAAAAGGGAAANGAACCTTGTTTGTCACCTGTCACCCGCTTTGCAATGGAGGGAAGTCGAACCCTCCATTAATTTCGAACTTTTATGTATTTCTGATTAATTTCGTTGCGGGTCCAATGACAGTTTAACTTTCCCCCTTGACCTTCATTGGTTGGGTTTTAATGGCGGTCAAGCAGTAAATCCTGGCTACACAGGAGTTGCAGCGGTGCGAATAGTTTTTTTTACCACTTAATCAATCGTTTTCTCCACAGGTCCGCCGCCTCCTCCGCTCGATGCACGTAGAGTGGGCTCAACCGGCGCTGCTGGCTCTCCCGCGCGACTACGACCGTCTGTTCACTTACTACCACGAGCGGGTGTGCGCGCAGTGCGGCGCCGTGCCCAAGGAGGCGTCCGTGTGCCTGCTGTGCGGCACGCTCGTGTGCCTCAAGCAGGCCTGCTGCCGCCAGCAGCAGGTGGCCGAGGCCGTGCAGGTAGGGTTGTGGAACAGTCGATAGTGAGACTATCGATAGTTAATCTCGAACAATTATCTGAATGTCGATAGTAACGGTATTTGCAGGGGTAGGAAAGTTCTTGAGTGGCGACCACGAGCTGGAAGACGTAGCGTGGGCAGGCCTCCCACTAGGTGGACCGACGATCTGGTGAAGGTCGCGGGAGGTACCTGGATGCAAGCGGCGCAGGACCGGTCTTTGTGGAAATCCTTGGGGGAGGCCTTTGTCCAGCAGTGGACGTCTTTCGGCTGAAACGAACGAACGAACGATAGTAGCGCCATATGTCGTGAATATTCAGGATGTCAATAATAATTTTCATAGCATCGCCATATTTTATGATCAATGTTTTTTGGTAATAGGAATACTATCGATATTTTTACGTACAATTACCATCAATACTATTGGAGTAGCTGTCAAAAATTGCCAAAAACATGATAGTATCGAAACTATTGACACGCAACAATACGTTGCCTCGTACTGTTCTTCCATTAGAGCTCACTATGGGTCGTGACGTGGAACTTTAAGGCGGATATCGACACTGCGCGGCATGAAGACGCGTCGGTGAGCCGATTTGAGCGTTGCCATAGACTTTCTACTCAAATTCGCGAGCAGTCTCACTATGTCGATACACGTCTTAACATGGTGCTGTGTTTTTAATATGCGGTGTGTTTAATTTCAGCACGCAATGGAGTGCGGCGGCGGCACGGGCATCTTCCTGGTGGTGACGTCGACGTACATCATCGTGATCCGCGGCCGCCGCGCCTGCCTGTGGGGCAGCCTCTACCTCGACGACTACGACGAGGAGGACCGCGACCTCAAGTGAGTTACATCCTCATTATCCCACTCTTACAGGCTATAGATTATTCTTCCGTACTTTCTTTGAATTAAAGTCGGTTTCTGATTTGAGATTTCCAGCTTGAGCTTAATAATTATCTACTCAACAATGAATTTATCGTGAAAAGTTCATACTCGATAATAAGATGGACATGCTCAAGTCAAGGATCTCAATTTAGAAACCGGACTTTAGCCACACAAAATTAACACAATAAATGTTTTTTACTTGTAGAATTTTTGTTTGTTATTACGCTAATATTTTTATCGAAACAGATGAAACGTTACCGTAGTTACGATGTCTCATTTAAAATGTCACACGTCCTGCGTAGGCGTTTCGTTATCTCTTCATCTTTGTAGTTACGGATGTTTGTCACGGATGTGCAAAACCCCTAAAAGGTTGAATAAACTTCTTTCTTGATCTATCCAAATTTTAAATTTATAAATGCTCTTCTGAACTTTCTTCAAGTAGGTACTCAAATAATTTGTTTGAATGTGCAGGCGCGGCAAGCCGCTATACCTGAGCGCTGACCGACTGGAATTACTACAAGCTCAATGGCTGGCGCACCGCTTCGACCACACCAAGCGCACCTGGGTGTGGCACCGCGACTCGCTCTGAGCGCCCGAAGCCCCGCCCAGCCAGAGGTCACTGAACCCGCCATGCGCGAGCGCAAGTGCGGACTAGCTTGCATCATGACTAAAGCCTGGTCCGTGAGCACGTAGAATCCCGTCCAATGACCCCAAGATGCCCATCCTTGTCGCTCGCACGTAATTATGTTGCTGTCGCGCTCGCACACTCACTGCGGGCGCGCGTCGCACAGTCGCGACAGCAATATAATTACGCGCGAGCGATAATGATGGGTAGCTTGGGGTCATTGGGCAAAATTCTACGTGCTCACGGACCAGGCTTTACCTGGTAACCAACCCTTCTGTAATGCCGGCGCCAAACATTGGCTGTATTGGCTCCAAGTTATCTTGGATCCAATACACCAATATGTAGACCGATCTGCGCCGCCGTAACGTAGACTTGTCAATTGTAAGACACAAAGATGACGTCCTTTTCTCAGCTAACAACTTCTACTGCGTAAGTGTACTCAAATTGTCTGTACTCATACGAGCAGGACTACTTGGACTTTTGAGTTATTTTGGATTTTAACTTAACTTATGTACCCACTACTATTATGCGACTCAAGCTTAACTTCGATTCATGCAAAACGTACGAGAACCTAGCACACGCTTTTAAACTTTCTTCTTCTTCCTACTTATTATATGCCTCAAATTCACTAGTTACGTATACGAATAAAATGACGAACGCTTTTTCGCCAAAAGCGTATGATACATCGATTTTGATCATGCCGCTTCGTGCTTGAACATTAAACATTTCACAAGCAAATAATGTAATCCATTCATCGACATAACTAAATGAAATAAACTGTAGATAACGCACGGAGGAGCAGCTTCCTAAGATAACATGAATAAAACTTAAAACTTGTTTCATACGTCAATCACAAACATCACTATGGATGAAGTCTGTGATGTAAGAACCCCTACGAAGCCGTTTCTCCTTACGTTATTTACCAAGTGCCTAAACATATACACACAATAAACTTATTCCGTAGATAGGTATTTTGTTAATCTATGAATTTAAAAGTAAGATATTATAACGGTCCGATGATACTTGTAGAATTTTCATGTTGCATTAATTTAGATATTATTTATTAGTAAAATATATCTTAAAATATATATTGTTACTTATACAACATTGTTGACATCCCGTACCCCTTCTTTCCTGAATTATATTTATATAAGTGCGTCTAAAATGTTTGTTGCCGCAGATTTAACTTCCGAATTACGATTTATATAGTTACTCTAACGAGTTGTTATTAGCAAATTGTATGTTTGTTTGTGTAACCATAGAATCTATTAGTGTTGAGCGACGCTATCCTTCTACAGATCCGTTAAATATTAACAAACTGCTATGAAATTAATAAAGTACATTATTAAATCAAATTCACACGTGCCTCTTTGCGTAGGAGGGCAGCGCCGAAAGCCTGACTGATAAGTGAATGCAATAAATACATTAGATTATTACGGACGTTGATTTCTATAACAGGCTTTTAAAATTAGTTGAGTGTAGTTTTAAGGTGGAGCTCTATTCGCGAAAAAGGACCGCGGATATAAAAGTATGAAAATTTACAGATGTATTTGCATCGACATTAATGCCACGGCTTAGGACTTTTCGTGTAAAAGACTGTAGAGAGTTGAATTCTGTGCATTTGCGTCGACCGAAACCTTGGAGCGCCGGGGCTTCGGTAACGTGCGGAGTCGAGCCGACGCGCCATCCGTCAGGGTCCGTCGGGCGTTGTTAGGGCTGTGAATATGTAAAGTTTACTTACTTCTCTGTTAACGCGGTTGACGATGTCACTTAGATTTATGATATTAAATTATTATTTTATTTTCATATTTTTATATAGGTTAACGATGGACAGTCGCTTTCGGTAGTCAATACCGAATAACGATTGTCTCGCAACGCTACGTCGCGCCGAGGTGTGCGATTTGTTAATGCAATTACTGATTTAATGTATTTTGTTTGTTTTCTGATGTTGGGTGACACTAAGATAAGTGGGTTGTGTTTCGGGAGCTGTCCTGTCCCTTGCCAATATTCAAGTTATCCCTTAAGCTCCCGAATCACGCCGACTTGCTTAGAAACCAACACAAAGGATATAATCATCACGAATTATCTTTATATGGTACGGTGCCTAGTTTGTAATGTATTTCGTGTGCAATTTCGCGGCCTTGATCAGTTTGCTTGTTTTTTTATTTAAAATTGATTTCGGAAGCAGTATTTAGATATTATATTAGTTCAGCGAATTGTAAATTAGTCGTAGTTGTTACTAAATTTAGTAGTTTTCATTAGTTTATCGTGTAGTCGTCGTGGAGGTTGTATTTTAGTTTATTACAACGAATTGGTGGTTCATGCATTGTAGCATCTCGTATGTTTACATTATATTTATAGAAGGCAATAAACCATAATGTCATGAATAACCTGTATTAACATTTTTGTTTTGTTTTTCAAGTTACAATAATTAGATAAAGACTAATGTGGAGGTTTTTCATTTCAATATGTTTAATTTGCGATTGTATTTTTAGTTTAAACCCTGAAATTGTGGATGTAAACATGTTATTATTATTTAGTACCTCACGCTGCGTCCGACCGCCCGCACCATCCGACAAATATTTGTTAACACTTGTAATATTGTTCTTGTATATATCCGATCATTAAAGTTGTTGATATTTCAAATTGTTATTTTATTTTAGCATATTTATATAGGTACCCCATAAAATCAATAAAATTATGCACGTAGTAGACAAGGTGGTGGTAGTTTTCTGTTGCTTGTATGGTGTGGTGAACACAAGCGTCTACGCTTGAATTGTTAGCGTTAATTTGGGTTAGGAATTGAAAATAAATAAATAAAACGCAAGTTTTTGTTAAAAGTTTATATTGTACATCAACTATGATTTGTTTAGAGGTAGAACATCCTACTCTTAAATTAAACGGCTAACGTGATTACAATTAATAAAATAGTTAATTTCGTATCGATCGCCGCGTTAATATCATTATAGGCGGACTGAGTAACCGAAACAACTTAAATATACTATTATACGATTGCTTCACGAAACAAGTCTTATGCATCTGATGTTTCGTCTTGCATGATAATGCTATAGACTACACACGAGATTTAAATTATTTCTTAGGGTAGCTCCCGTTTCCAAAGATTTCCTTATCGTAAAAATAAGACGTATCGTAGACGGACGTATGCTAAAATAATGTTGTTTTAATATAAATAATGTTTTAGAATGCTCGAGTCAGCACTGAAAAGCATTGTAAAGCATCTCATATTCTTCAAAACGCGATCGTGCACGTCAAGTTTTAGTTTGTACCCCGTATACAAAGGCTGCCATAAGTAAATAACTAAACAATTATCTGTTTAGTTACTTTACACATTAATATAGCGTAAAACGATCTCTGTGGTAGTCCATAACAAATATACAGCGCTTAACGCCCCGCACATTTTGTCCACTAAAGCCCGGTCTGCGAGCACGTAGAATTTTGTCAAATGACCCCAAGCTACCCATCCTTATCGCTCGCGCGTAATTATATTGCTGTCTCGACTGTGCGACGGGCGCCCGCAGTGAGTGTGCGAGCGCGACAGCAACATAATTATGCACGAGCGATAAGGATGGGTAGCTTGGAGTCATTTGACAAAATTCTACGTGCTCACAGACCAGGCTTTAGTCGTTCACATTTTGTATTGTGTTGGCAGCGAGTGGTAGGTTTGAACCATAAACAAAATTATACAGCTACTAGTGGACAAGTGTGGGTATATGTTCGATACAATTTAGCTAACAGCCACATCAGAGTTAAGGGTAAAATTGTTACAAAAAAAAGTATTGAAAGATACAAGACGAAACACCCGAGGCGCAATTGCAGTACTTATACGATCTGATTTTATGCACGTTTTAATATAAAGTAAAAGATTTATCACAGAAAAAATAAATACTACCAAACAATAAAAGATGGCAACTTATTATGCACCACGTTACAAAACAATAATATCGGTTATTTATTATTATTATTATGTCAATCGATTAGATTACATATTCAAACTAAAATAATATAAGTATAAATACTGAATTCAATTCTATATTATTTTTGTATAAAAATATGTTAAGAACTTAAAATATATCTCGATTTCATCTAATCAAAGGAATGTGATTTAACCAATACGAACAGTATAATGAAATCTATCCTTTTACATAATATATACTAACAAATATCTCTTAATATAATAGTCATAGGGACGAGTTTCGAGTTGCCGTCAATATTTTAATGTCAAATTAAACAGATTTTCTATACAATACTCTCATTGACGGGTAACGGTTGGTGCTTTGTTTGTAAACTATGCACGTTAAAATTAATCTGGGGTTAACACGCTAATAAATGTATAATTTTGTACTCTGTAGAAACTTAAGTACCATTATCTTGATAACATATCGTTATCCAAACTGATCTGTTGTTGTAGGCAAGTGTAACAATAATTCAATCGATTTGACAGAAATCGCACCGTGTCGATTCACGGTTATGTAAGACGGTGGATTCATTGTCAAATGATTGACGATTTAAATATGAATCTCGTTTGTCCATTCAAATAGCGTTGTTACAATAAATACGGGACATCTCGCGCCACAGACTGGGCGAGATTAATTAATTGAATAAGAGATCTCTCCAGTTCAAGACAATCTTTGTATGTCGAGTATCAAAACGATATTATACATGACCTTTATAACAACATCATATAAACATACACATCAAAAATCGTTAAAAAAATTACATACACCGCAGACACCTTAAGAAACCAGTTATATTAAAATAACGCTATGTACATACAACTATCAATAATGTATGTAGGTACAACTTCTAAAAATTTCTGAACACATTTTTAATAAGATATGGGACAAATTTTAATTCCTACCTGTCCATCTCAATCCTTATCTGTCCGCTCCTCTATGGCACAAATGTAAATAAACAATATAATTTGCACCTCGAACTAAAGTTGCAAATGTAGGCAAGCGGAACCTAAATATTTATTCAATAGGCCAAATTTTAGTACTCTAATCTCTAAAAGCAATACTTTACGTATATAGGTGCGACTTCAATATTCAATATACATAATAATATTTATTGTAAATTATAAATTCGTACCAACTAATTCATATTTTATATAACCGTATTACTTTATTTTAACTAAATACAAACTGAATACTAATCGTGTATATGCACAGCTAAATTATAAAATCATTTAGCACACTAATAATATTCTTTATTACAATATACTGGTCATTCTGAGATCTGTTCGTCACCGTTCTGGCTCCAATACTGTTTCAACATTTTCTTATGTTACTCGTCGTTAAAGTATGCCATTCCTGGCTGACGGCGAGCAATGGCATAGTCTAGGAGACTCCGCGCTGTGTCTCAACACAATCTACGCCCACGCTGTGGTCCATCGTATTCTTTATATTAACAAGTTATCGTTACTCTATGTAAAGGTAACTACATCTATTCTATATAATTATTTTAGTTGGCAGATATGTTACCGATTTTTTGATATATCATTTTTTTCGTGGCATATTTTTTCACAGAAAAAATGTTACAATCTCACATTAGTCTTATTATTGTTTACAAAACTATCGTGATGTAGAGATATTATATTCTTCATTATATGCATATCAAATAAGTATATCTTAGTAAATAGTGTCGAATTCCGTTCGACCGATGCTTCTCGCTCGGAACGAAACGTCGCCTTCCCGCGGCCGACTGCGGTCAGCCAACCGATAACACACTTTATATCAAAGCTTAGATAACAGTTGTTTGCAATTTACTCTAGGTAAATATCATTTCAATTCATATACAATTAAATTGAAATAGTAAGCAACGAAGTACGAGTAGAATAAAATAGTAAAACATGACCAACAAGTGGCGTTGCAAAGCATGGTGTAGGGGCGTCGGTGCAGCCACCGTTATTCGGATAACCGCACCGTGTAGCCGTGATTTGCATCCACATTCAATTATGCTATTACAATAATAACAAGCTGAGACAAACAATATTCACTTCAAAAGAAGCGTCTAGATAAAATATCTTCAGTTGAAGGGTGCGCTTTGTACGGAATCCTACTGTACAAGTTACTGGCCTGACGTCCGGATATTTTACTACATAACGGGGAGCCGGTAACCGGCCAACTGGGGGACCGAACGCTCAGCGGAAACTCCGGAAAATAGCGAATAACCGTGTTTTACTCTGCGGATATATAATTTTCTGAGCACCCGGTAGCGTGAGTAACAGATGTTCCCATACCGCAGCGTCTAGCTGCTGCCCACGTGTCGCTGCGCCCGCGCAAGCCACGCCGCTGCTGTTGCGGCGCGACCTCACTGTTAGAACAAAAGCATTTGCTATTTACATCTGTCAGCGTCAAAATAACGTCAAAATTTATTTGTAGTAAATGCTTATGTTTGTATAGGTCGCGCAACGAGAGTTGAGGCGATCAACACAAACAATAACGTCGCTGACGTCTTGCGTAGTGACACTGAGAAGTATTTTCTGTCTCGCTTGCAGGTATTTATCAAAAGTGAGGCAGCTAGTGTATTGTAAATTGTAAAGTATGTATATGAACTTGACTGTGTATTCTGTACATATATTCAAATATTAGATCAAAGTGAGTCGTCTCAACATTCACTGTGCGACCTATATCTTTCATTAAGACACCTTAACCTCATTCATGTTTGATATGCACGCAGAGCGTGTAGCGGATCCGTATCGTAAGCCTTACTACTGTTTCATAAATCACGTTGAAATTGTATTAATTCTGAAAAAAAAAGAGAACTCACTTTGGTTATCCCGGGCGGTCGCTAAATGGCGCTACATCGGTGTTATAATATGTCGGCGTGCCAATAGGCGGGGTAGGCGGCGGCGGCGGCGGGCGCGGGCGCGTTTACTGGCACGGGCGGCTCCGCGGGGCAGTCGCAGTCGATACGCTGCGCTACGAAGTTGCCGTAGTCGTCTGTCAAAGCGCTGTGACGTAGTGCGCCGCACACGTGACGTCGCCCGCCATCGCACCATAGTCTCTCTGAAAAGAGATGCACACAAAAATATCGACAACTGTCAACATAACAGACCCAAGAGTTGGGTTCCATTCAGTGCTATTCCTTTCAATATCTGTCTTAGAAAGCAAAATACAACCATCCTAGGAACAATAACTCGAATAAACGCTACCTATTTAGTGCTAACTAGCACCCCTGTGGCAATGTTCGAAGGGGGTAGATGGGAATATAAACGCCGTCTATTGTAAATGAAAACTGTTTTGAGACAAATAAATACTTTCTATCTATTTATTGCCAACCACCACTGCAATGGTAAGCTCGAAGGGGGCAGATAGGACTAAAGGTGGTGGCTATCTATGGCTATCTTGCTCGCGGTTTTGATTCACTGGTTTTCTAGTGACGTAAGAACCACAAGGGTAGTTTTGGAACAAAAACCCGTGATTAAAATTGGCTGTAACATGTTTTCAAAGACCGAAACACACAACAGTGGCAACACTACAACTGAAATAACACCAAAGTACACAGTACACACGGCCACAGTGTTAACTATCCATTTCCGTTTTTTCTCTCTCTCTCATCAAATGGTGATTCTTTGCGATAGAGCGAGACAACATGACGGGCAATGAGCAGTTAACACTGTTGCCGAAAGTACTTCTGGCACTCACCTCTAGTGATGTCCACGTCGGCCATCAGCTCTTCGTTCATGAGCGCGCTCAACGCGTCGTCTGTGTGCTTGGATTCTGGAATCACTGGCACATGATGCAAGAATATTAATAACCTACATTTGATAAGCTGCAAGAATAAAATACAGCACTACCCCGGATGGAACACATGATTGACTGGCAGTGTATTTTGAATACATAAATGCACCATAGTAGGTACTTATTATTTTACTGCTCAAGAGCAGAGTTGTGCAATGGATCTTAAAATATAATTTTATCTTAGCCAAGACAGCAGCAACTATTTTCTATTTTGATGACTGAATTATTAGGTCTATTCACCTGGGTGATCAAAGGGCTCCAAAACTCCAGGAGACACTTTGGTGTCCTTTGATCACCCTTGGATAAGATCATTTAGGTGATCAAGACAGACTTCTTGCTCAGTGATCAAAGGTCACAAGGAAGAGCACTTTGATCACCTATAGTCCGATTTTTAATTCGACGGAATTCTGACAGCTGTCATTTTTTGACAATTCAGATGTAATAAGCCTTTTTTGCTTTGAATTATTAATAAATAATATGAAATGAAATTTCATCAACTGCAACTTACAAGAATGAACTATTGTTTGTTTCGTGAATTCAATGTACACTAATTATTATGTACATTTTAGAGATTAAATAGAAAAAAAACGTGTTTTTAACACAGTAAAACAACATATTAACATAAACGAAAATATGTATTGATCATCAATCATCATTATCGTCAGCATAATCAACTTGGATTATAAAATTGGCATCTTGTTAAATTGATTATTTTATGAAGCTAAGATTTTATTAACAAAAGTATTTTCATAAAAAAGGTTTGTAACCCATGGATTATTGGCCAGGGAGTCCAGTAATAGAAAAATAATTTCCCAATTTTTTTTGTAACTTCTAAAATATGATAATAAAAATTCAAATAACCATTTTGAAATGATCAGTACATTTTTAAGCCTTAGTTTTTTAAGTGAAACCTTAAATTCAAGAAAGGATTATTTTATAATTTGTGAAAATGCTCTCCATCCTTAGTGGGAATGTTTCAATGTTGGCAACACTTCTGAAATGTCAAAATTCCGTCGAATTAAAAATCAGAGTTTAGATGATCAAATCCAGGTGATAAAAGTGGAATAGACTAAATTACAGCGTAAGTCTTTATAACGACACTCAAGGGAGGGACTGAGCATTTTTTGACGTTATAGAGAATTGTCGCTGTCGTAGTACATGGTAGAGCAGATAGAAACAAGGTAAACCAACGAAGTCAAGAAATTGTGACGTTATAAAGAGTTTTTCGTTAAATCGAGTGACGTTATAGAGAGTTTAACTTTACAGTGTATTTGAAGAAAAAAACTGAATGCACCGATCACACCATGCGAATACCTACCTGTATCCTGCACCTCCTGCTTGACCACCGGCTCCTCCTTGACCTGTCGCAGCGCGGGCGAGGTGGGCGTGGTCGGTGTGGTTGGCGCGGTGGGCGTTGTGGGCGTGGCGGGGGGCGTGGGCGCCGCGTCCGCGCCCGGCGGCACCGCCCCCGCTTCCCCGCTGCTGTTTGAGCTGCATTCCGGACTGTAGGGCGCCATCTGGGGAAACGTGATTTATGCAGGGAACTCCTTGACCGTGCAACTGGCCACCATGAAACTTTATTCTTTGTTTGGGATGGTTTTTTTGGACACAACTTGGCTTTACAGTACTGTATAAGGTTAGAGCTAGAGTATAGTCACAGTATGGGGGAGGACACTCTAGACTCTGTTGCAACTGTTTGAGGTTTAGAGCTGCAGTGTACACAGAAACTTAGTTGTAAATGTAGGGAGGACACTGTAAATAAACTGTAAAGACTCCAATGTAACTGCATAAGGTTTACTGTAGTGTATACAGAGAAGAGTCTCTCCACATCTAAACATTAACTCAAAGGTGACAGACTGACTGACTGAAATAGTGATTTATCAATGGACAGCCCAAACCACTGGACGGATCGGGCTGAGGCATGCAGGTAGATGTTATAACGATGCCTAAGCTCAGGGAGTAAAACGGGATCCACACGTACAAAGTCGCGGGCGGCCGCTAGTTATGACATAAATCTTGTGATGCACTGGCATAAGTTTTAGACAGTTGCAGTGCAGTTGTGATATGTATAGTCACAATACCATCTTTACTGAATGCAAGCTCTTGGTCAAAACTTATCTGGTGTTGGTCCAAAAAAGAAGTTAAATGTCTTTGCAATTAGTATCTTCTTATGCTTCTTCTGCACAATGATAGAGACCTCAACTCAAAAGTCCTCAAACTAAAGAAGTTTTTATAAAAATAACTAGCAATGTTTCCAGATGAACTGTGGAAAAATATTTTATTTATAATCAGAAAAGCCTCTCCTTATTACACAAGTTAGATTATGTAAATCGAAAATATTTAAATACTTATCAATCAACTTGTTAAAAGACTTCTATTAGAACAGCCATTGGCAGCAATTGTTTCTTTTCTTTCATACAATGGTCATGACAATAAGGAACTTTGAATAATAAACAGCACAGCACTGACCCTGAGACTTCTGCGGCGCCGCGGCGTGACCTCCGCCATCTTATAGCTGGTGTCCATGGCCCAGTAAGACCCTTTGCCGGGGTCGTCTTTGCTTCGGGCCACCTTCATGAAGCATTTGTTCAGGCTCAGGTTATGCCGAATGGAGTTCTGCAATAAAAGTAACAGAATGATCACTTATAGAAATACTAGGAAATCAGAAGGTATACTTTGGGTAAACAGTCATAATGACTAAAAACTTAGTAATATTGCTGAAATGTTTTATCCCCCTTTTTGTATGAAACATAAATTGGGATAAATTCATTTTGGTTTCTCTCTCGAATTACCATCACACAAGAAAATGACTGAATAATATTGAAATGAGCAGTCAGATTAACTAAACTAAATCAGGGGTTTATGCTGTTATTTATAGGACTTTTCTGACAGTATCTTACAAATGTATTTGACAAATTAATTTCAATTCTTAAATTACTTACCATCCAGCCTTTGCCGGCTTCTTTGTAGTAAGGAAAGGCATTGCAAATGTAATTGTAAATCTCATTGAGGGTCATCTTTCCATTTGGGGAACTGCTAATAGCGAGTCTGATCATACTGGCGTAGCTGTGGACAAATAGCATGGTTACATACATATAAGTCGACAATTTGCTTGTTTAATGCCCGTTTTCACCATCAATTCCCAATTTTTAAGTGATCGCTATGAAACAAAATGCATGTTTGTGTTACCTTATAGGTCACTTAAAAATTAGGGATTGATGGTGAAAATGGGCATAAGAATGAAATATTATATATACATAACAATGGCTTTTCATCTGCATCTACTTGGCTGAGAACAGTAAAATGAATTTGCATCAAATAAAACTATGATATCCTCTTGATTTAGAGGATTTAATTTGCCAAACAAACTACAATGAGTATAAAACGAAGAGGACGTCGTGTTTTATTGCTTTTATGATTACTCAGCACCGAGAGGTGACCTAGAGATGAGTCATGCCCCAGGCGCCAGTTTGTTGAGGATAATCTGGCCAAATGTTTTACCTGTACGCGGGCTTGGCATGCTTGATTTTGTTCGCGTTCTTCTCGCCGCCCTCCTTGTTGTTGTTCTCCTGCTGCAGGCCAAGCGGCTGCACGTCCTCGTACAGGAAGCGCGGGATGGGCCCCAGCGGGCTGTGGCGCGGCGGCCCGGGGCTGTAGGCCGGCAGCCACTCCACTCCGGGCGAGTCGCTCATTGTCCCATCAACACACCGCCCGAACGTCGTCACCACACACCCTCACAACGCCTACGCATTCCTCCCCGAAACAAAACAAACACTCGTAACCCAAATCTGTATTCGCGTATCACAACGGCCGTGGGCGTGTGGCTCGCTACCTTTTACGAAGATGATCCTCTTTGAAGAACATGAAGGATCCTTGAAATGACGACCTTAGAAAAACCACAGAAATTGAACGGTTGCGTTTGATTTTACACAAGAAAACTTTAACACATCGAAATACATTTAAATTATTGTAAAATAATATACGGATGAAACGTAAAGGCCAAAAGAAAATATAATTTTCAGAAAAATTGAAATTATTATGACATTTGATGCACCTACAACAAGGAAAATGGCGGCGTACTAGGTGCGTTCGGATTCAAGTGGTGATCAAGAAATTAAGGAAATTGAAAATTGTTTGACCAAAACCAAGAAATAAAAATATTGTTTTTTTCATAATTCGATTCTTCATTTTGTTTTTATTTTCTTTTTTCATTATTTTCTGTAACTAAAAGTATTTTCTAAAAGTAGGGTAAATTAGTTATGAACTATGGCAAGAATATTACTGGGTTACCAGTTAAATAAATTTAAAAAAAATGACAGTTTGAATGAAATGCTGTGACGGGGGAGTTGTGTTTTGCGTTGTTTTATTTTTAACGGTTTGTTGACATTGTTTTACATACGCGTAAATCATTTTATGTTGTTAGTGTGTGAACTATTCGGTTTGTTGTAATAGTGAAGTAAAGTGGCCAACAATGACGACCCAGCCAGAAGTCGGCGTGTCCGACTTTGTCCTCTTGGACAATTTGACGACTGACAACTTCATAGAAAATTTGCATTTGAGGTAAGCGGCGCCTATTTCTGTACTTTTGCAATCCTCATGATTGTGTTAGTTAATTCCCCTGCTACATAGGTAATATTACTTTTCGAAACATTCAACTATTACATACTTCTAACAAAGTCGGTAGTGCTACTTATTAATTTCGCCTGTGCCGGTATTTAGCACTTAGCAACAAACTTAAAAAAGTATGTTGAGTTTAAAAATACATGTTAAAATAGGTACTGAAACTTTGAAAACAACCTTGGATGCTCAATCTTAGAGTTCACTTGGGTAAACAAGACTTGGTGATGGAACCATTATTTTAAAGATTTGTTATTTTTATTTTAAGTTTGTTTAATTTTAGTCAATATGTAAAACCCACCACGTAATTAAAATGTGGTGGATAAAAAATCATTTGGGTTTGCTGTGTGAGTGTTTGAAGAAGTAGCGAGGCTTCATGTTTTTTTATTGCATGTTGTAAACTAAGAAATTGATTTTCATCTATAAATACTATACAGGGTCCAAATGGGTGTGCCAGTTTAGTTTTTTTAAGTTTACTAATTAAGATGTTTACAATTTCTGCATGAATATTACTAAATGTTACAATGGTCGAACAAACTAATAATTACTAGCATATAAATTATGCTGAGTGGAAGCCTTTTTGGCATCATTTTTTAATTACTTCGTACAATACTGTTAAGTCTGTAATTTTCTGTTTTTAATGTGCCAAATAAATGTATTTTCTTTCTTTCTTAAGTTGGTTCTGGATACTATTTACACCTATTTATTAATTAGGACTGATGTTCATTTCATGATATAATTGAACAATCATAATATTTAATCAAAAGGAACAGGAAAAATCTACTTAATTAGGTACCAAATTAGTACTTACACCTTCATTTGCAATTAGTTAAAAAATAGTTTTGAATAAAATAAAAATCTTTAAATAATATTTTTTTATAAATATTGTGTACTAGCTTTCCGCCCGCGGCTTCGCCCGCGTGGAATTTTGTCTGTCACAGAAAAACTTTATCGCGCGCGTCCCTGTTTCAAAAACCGGGATAAAAAGTATCCTATGTTCTTTCCCGGGACTCAAACTATCTCTATGCCAAATTTCATCAAAATCGGTTGCGAGGTTTAAGCGGGAAAGCGTAACAGACAGACAGACAGACAGACAGACAGACAGAGTTACTTTCGCATTTATAATATTAGTTGGGATGCTGAGTGGAAGCCTTTTTGGCATCATTTTTTAATTAATTAGTACAATACTGTTAAGTCTGTAATTTGCTGTTTTTAATGTGCCAAATAAATGTATTTTCTTTCTTTTTTAAGTTGGTAAAATGCCTAATAAAATCAAACCTTTAAAAATAAATGTTTGATTTTATTAGGCAAGTTTCTGGATACTATTTACACCTATTTATTAATTAGGACTGATGTTCATTTCATGATATAATTAAACAATCATAATATTTAATCAAAAGGAACAGGAAAAATCTACTTAATTAGGTACAAAATTAGTACTTACACCTTCATTTGCAATTAGTTAAAAAAATGTTTTGAATAAAATAAAAATCTTCGTTTAATATTTTATTTTGTGCTACATGTAGGTACCTAACTTGTTATTACTTAGCTTACTTATCACAGTATTAACCTAATAATTGATTTTTCATTAAAATCAGTACCTACTATCCGTTCGCGATAAGTTTGCCGCTGGCGATATGACGTCACTCGAAAAGAAGTGTCTATAACTAAGTAAACTAGGTATTGAAAATATTTTATATTTATTAATATTGATAAATAATGTGTATTTGCGTAAAATAAGACACATCATTAACTAATTGCGTTTAATCGTGGTTGGGGGAGGGGACGCGCATTCCACGGACCGGCAAAGTTAGCGTGAACGGGTAGTATATTACTTTACCCTCATAAGGTTCATAAACATCTTGATTGAAGTTTAAAAATAGCCATTATTCAGAAGTTTGAATACATTCGTAATTGTCGTGTTTTTATAATCGGCGCGCGCGCAGGATGATGTCATGCGCGCGGCCTTTCATACCTTTTCCTCGTGGCTCATTGTCTTAGCCCATCTGTCGCCCCTTTGTTGGGAAGAATGCGGCGACAAAAGTTTGTTTGTTATTAATGGATGACATAAAGGGTTTGTGTAATGGACACATCTATTAGTAAGTTCTGTGTTTTTAAAGTTTTACTGGCTTAAATACCTAATCTCCCTGCATTCATTACCCCAAAAAGTGATAAGAACTAAATTACCTCCATTTTTTCAAATTTTGCACTCCACACTAAAAAAGGGAAGATGTTTTAAACTTCCTACCAGTGTTTTGTTGACTTATTTCTTTATAACTGCCATTAAGTCTTTGTTCTATAGGATCTTAGAATATGCTCATTAAAATCAACAAAATATCATATAGTATTCCTGTTAAATCTGTTTCCGCGCATATTTAATGGGAAGCCGTGATACTACACGTCTACCTCCCTAGGTAACTGTGTACGCGTGTGAATATAAACATTACCGTCTTTCGTCTACCCTCAAAGTACATACATAATGTTGGAACAGAACGCCATAACTATTCTCAGAAGCAATTCTCTGGTGCCTTTATCCTCTCTACAATCTGCACAACTGTTCGACCGCGTTCTCGAGATGAGATGCAGAGATTACACGATGCAGAATAAGCGCAACAAATGACTTTGTGTTGGTATTGAGTTCAAAACAATTATTCACGAAGATAATGTTGCGAATTCTTATTCCGCTAAGTTCAAAAAATCTTGTATTTTTTCCCGATTTTTTACGTTCCATGCTAACCTGGGAAAAAAGTAAAACAGATTGTAACTGTCCATTTTCAACTTCAAGATGCCGTAAAAATCGATGTTGCGATATTCTCTGGTGTATCCAAAAAGCGTCATGAGTACGAATTAACGCAAACTGAAACTACCCACATTCCCGAAGAGAGTTGGTGTCGGTTGGCTGCAAAATGAATCCAAAACCAATGATCCATTCGACCACCTAGCTAAGTAAGTGATTATAATCGGAACCAATAGAGCCTGAGAAAAAATAATGCATGTAGCCGTATAACCGTCATTAACGTTCAATTCGTTTATTTCGGATATTGTTCAAAGTAAATCAATACCATATATTGATTTCTACGTCAATAAACTTATTGAAGTTGTCTTTCCCTTTTTGTTATTACCAATAATATGCCTTTCAATAACTAAATCGTAAAGTTCCATTGATGATAACCGTTATCGCAAGGCCATTTTGCATGAAAACCCTGCCGCCTACGCTTCTGGTTGTTGTCAGTCATTCGGTGGGAAAATGCCGATAAATTGCAATAGCCTAGTAAACTATTTATGTTCAATTGTTTTTCATAAAATAGGTAAGTTAGAATAACAGCATATCCTGTTGGAACTTGTAAGTCTTGATTGTAACTTTGTAGCGTACTGAAGACCTTCTATTAGGTCCTGAAATGATTAAAAAATCTTCTCATATCAGTTCTTCTACTCAAAAACTAAATTACTTTGTTTTGTAGTAACCCTAGAGGAAAGCGTTAACTTCATAACCAAGACGATGGTATGATTCTGTATTAAGATTGGCGCCAACGGGAACGGGATATTAGATCAAGGAAGGAGTTGAGCGCCCCGCGAGGAAAGGGGGCGTCCATAAATTACGTGAGACAATTTTGGCTATTTTTCAACCCCCCCGCCCCCCTTGGTGAGATTTGGTGAGATTTTGCCTGACCCCCTCCCCCACCCCCAAATCTCACGTGATATTAAAAAAAATCCGAAATTTAATAGTTTTGGAGTAATATTAAACATTTTTTTTGTGTGCTTTAACGTTGTTGCTAACGAGTGCATCAAAAAGATATATAAAGTTTAAGATTTTAGTTCTTGAAAGTATCTGCTAGGGACGCTGTACAATCATCATACATTTAATGTATGTCATTTTTTACGCAGTCGCTAGCGGATGACGATTGTGTAAAGTCGCACTAAGCCCACTGATTACGAATAGATCCAGAAATTCACGTGTAGTGACAGCGGTTAGTACTAGGGTCACATTGTTTTTTTACAGAAGTACCTAGTCTAATTGTTCCTTTCTACAAAATCACTAATAATCTAGCAAAATCGATTTTGATAAAAAAAGAACTTGTTTTATAATTTTCTTAATTTCGTCATTTATTCTGCATTTTAGTATTCACACATGCAGACTGAAGCATTTTTAGTTGTAGGTATTTGTTTAGACTGTATAGAATAAAATGACATTATCATCATACAAATATCATTTTTTAGTCCTGACAAGGAACCCTTAATAGTTTCGATATGTCTGGCTGTCTGTCTGTCCGAGGTTTTGCTTGGAAACTATTACTAGGGAGCTGTAATTTTGTAGAGGTATGTATATTAATCACGACGACAAAACGGTAGAATAAAATTTTGAAAAAAAAACATTTTTTTAGGGTAGCTCCCCTAAATGTAAAGTGGGGTGTTTTTTTTCGTCTTCTACCCCATCGTGTGGGTAGGTCTTTTAAAATGGCTTAGGGGTTTCTAAGACCATTTTTCGATTTAGGGATCCGTTTGCAAAATGTTAAAGTTTAAAGTGCCAATTTTTGTCCGAGTAGGGCGTTCCCCCCCGCTAAAAACTAAACTGTTGGCTTGATAAATCTGGAAAAATTCAAGATTATAGTGCTTTTTATGAACTTTCAAGGAAAACTATAGCGGTTAAGATAGATCACTTAGTTCAAGAGTAATAGTCGTTTTACTCATGTATTATAAAATTTTTATACCTAATAAAAATTCCTTAGAAGAAAATATTAAAAGTGACTTTAGATGAAGTAATTGCTTACTTCTGAAATATATTGTGATAACGACGGACAACTAAGGAACCCTACACTGCGCGTGGCACGACACGCACTTGGCCAATTTTTTTACTTAAGATTTAACCCAGTTTTCTGGCAAACTATTTCTCTATTTCTTGTGGAAAAAAATACGTGATATTTCCCGAGACCCCCCCTCTCCCC